AACAGTTTTATCTAAATAATGAGACCATTTTTTTTGACGTATATAATATTTCCGACTGCAATTTATGTTAAGAATTTTCAGAAATTTCGACAAGATTATGATAAGTAATTAAATTCTGACGACAGTATACATTGTGTATTTCGTTGATATACTAAATTATAGTAATATTCATATTTGAGATTGTGACAAAGTATTTATAAAGGTGAGAATTTATAATTATATATATAAATCCAAATTTAACGACAATTATAAATGTGAACATAGGGAAAGGAAAAATTTTCTTCTTCTACTCACATTTTATGCTTGCGTTTTTCCGAAAACATCTTACTTTCTACTACTTCCCATACCAATAATTTTTTTCACAATGCCTTTACTGTAATTATATGTGTATATTGTATGTATTTTATTATTATAATCAACATTATGTTTCTTGCTTAAGAGAGATAGAGAATATCATTTTTATTTTTATTACTATTATTCTTACTTATTATTTATATGTGTCCCACCATTGTATCCGTTACCCTAAGGTTTGGCAACCAAGGTGCGCTTCTAGTTACTACTAGCTTCTTCACTCGTACGAAATCTAATCTAAACTCATTAGAACTGTATCTTACTATAAAAAAAGTGGCAAGGAGGAATAATATTAGGTTGAGATGGGTCTCCGGTCACTCACATATTGAAAGTAAAAAATGCTGACCAACTAGCAAAGTTAGGGGCAAACACCGCCCAACAGGGCTCTGAACCCTTCTGAGGCGTGCCTTGGTGATTAAAACTGTACTGTGTTTCTCTCAAAATAATTACTAAATAGGAATTATACTAAAATTGACGGTGGTCTAGCGGTTTAGCACACCGTCTTACTTCCGATGGTCGCGGGTTCGATTCTTCGCACGATTCAAACATTTGTATTCATGAGTATGATTGTTTGTAACATCCTGGGTGTTTTCTACATATATATAGAAAACACCTATATACATATACAAATACACGAGTATTTATCTCAGTTATCTATTACACATACCACAAGCTTTAGCTAGCTTAACTTGGGGCCAGACGGCGGTATGTGAATTGTCCTGAGATTATTATATTATATTACATATTCAAAAGCCCTAATACTCGAATCAATACTCTAATAGACAGATGCTATTGAGTATATGCAACAATATATGCAAAATGACTAGGGCTCCTTTGGAAAGTACATACACACATTATACTAAAGACATAGAGAAAAAACATCGCTAATAAGAATATCGATAAAGAAATGTTTGCTTTGAAAAAATTACTTTCCTTATTATGTTTCTACACATAAATTTTCTTAAATACTGTATTATTTTTTTATCTATTTATCTACTTATCTTATATCATTGTATAATGCAAATAAAATATTATGCATTTATCTATTTAACTATTATCTAAACTAAATGTGTAAATGTTTTATACGTGCCAAATTTTATACTCCCCTCGTCCGGAAATATTACGACAAAAGAGTTTTTTATATATTTCACTTACTAAAAATGTGATTTTATCTCTTACCTCTTTATATATAACAGCTCTATAAATGTGACATTTAAGTATTAGTATTTAAAATCGATTCGGTGTACATTTCATTCTATTCAATGAAAATGTAAGCCATGCAAATGAAGTTGTAATAAAAAACAAGACCTAAAACACATGAAGTAAATAAAGTAAAGTAAAGTAGTAACACATAAATGTTTATAAAGTAGTTCTAAATTAAGATACGTAAAGATTTACGTTAAACCATTATACGTTGTATGCCGAGGATGTGTTTAGTATGTCCAACAATTTGCTAGACCAATAGTTTCTCCGAGAATCCGGTCGAAGTGATAACATAGCCGGTGGTCATTGAGGTGTGAACAATGCAACCGCAGCGCAATACCGGTGCAGATTGTTTATTGTTCCAGTGATAATCGCTTCCTACGATTTCCTCTCCGCAGAACAGCCTCCCCAGACAAAGTACCTACATTTCTATTCATGTCATCGCCAGCTGCAAACTCAAATGAATATGAATAATGTCCAACTACATAATAGAGTTTCAATGTTACTGAAATACTATTTTGGTATTGTACTTACGCAATAAGTATTTACTAAAATAATTTTGTTTGTTTTAAATATAACTTTCGTTACAATAGTTTTAAATTCTAAATAGCATATTAAAATTTGTGAACAAAACAGTGAAGGTATCTGAAAGCGACGAACTACATATCTATGTACGTGTATAATCTAATGTATAAAATTCTCGGCACTGTGTTTGTTATCAAACTCCTTCAAAACGGCTTAACTGATATATGTGAAATTTTGTATGCACATCGGGTAGGTCTGAAAATCAACCAACACCTATTTTTCATACCCTTCAAAGATGAGGGTAACCCATCCCTAATATTTTTTTATATTATTAACAAAAAAATATTAGTTTAGTAGGTTTCTGATTCTGTATTAAAACACATACAACATTTTTTACCCCTCTACCATCAACCCTATTTTTAATAGTAATATGACAAAACAATGTTTTCGGGGTCAACTAGTTTATTTTATATATTTTGCGTTATTTATTTTGTACTTTTTTCTCTTAGCTCCATTATTTAGAATTGTATATTTTAACGCTATGTAAGGTAATGTAATCTACCTATTAAATTTATAAAACGCATGTAAAGTACCGTCAGTACAGTCCGTATTTAAGTCTCTACACCATATTATTGCTTAGTAGCTTCCCACCAACAATCGCAAACACGGTTTCTTGCACGTCCTAGTTTAATTGCACTGGCTATTTTATTTTCATCCCTTTTAGCATCCATTAAGATTTTCATATGTAATTCATAATAGTATGAAAACTACATATGATATTGAGAGTACTCGACTAAAGAGCCAGGCAATATCTCTATGTAGAATTCACTTTATCTAGAGGGACTGGATCTCACAAAGGTTTGAGAATATTCACCTTCTAGGGGCTTCTACTCACAATGCTGTCCGTTTGAATGCAAGTCCTATGATAATGTAATATTATTTATTGCGACAATGCGCTGGTCTGTTAAATGGAACTCGAGAGGCAGTAGGAACTCTGTAATAAAACAATGAGACAGATTGAATTCGTGGCAACTATTACTTTACTAACAGATGTTAAAGTTCTACAGTTCTTACAGTTAATTATAATTTAAGCTCAAAAAAATCATACATAATGTAATATTATTATTATAATAATCATCCAGAACAATTTATACAGCATCATCTAGTCCAAAGCTAAGCAGAGCTTATGTTGTTTGTCAGCTTTTTTTTGTAAATACGTATAAAAAATCATCACGAATCGAACGAACGAACGAATCATATTAATTTAAAAATAGTTATCTAATATATCTATTTATATTATAACTTTCAATAATAACTATCATTAGGAATGGAACTGAAAATGAATTAGGAGTATAAGAACAAAATAAAACAAATACTTTGAGCACTTTAGCGGGATAAGGGTAACGAGTTTTATTTGAGTGTCTTACATGTCCTGTGTTGTGTGTCAGTAAAACCTTTCTTGAGGCTAACTTAGTTTTAAGATGCAATTTGCACTGCAGTCTTAACGCGTATCTCGCTCAAAGGATCAGCACCTTGTACAGCGTAGCCCTGTAATAAGGTAAGGCAGGCTACTATCTAAAATCAAATGGAGCTCTACATTGAATAGCTCTTTGAGTTGAATAGCTTGGATTTCTTTTGCGATAAAAGTTAGTATTACTTATTTCATTTATGAATCGCTTTAAAATGAAATATCATATTTTATACTTTAAATTATGTATTCAGAGTTAGAGACAAGATTTCTCGGTTGATTAGTAATATTAATTTTTAAAAACTAATATTATAAATCTACCGAACCAACTTTATCTCCTACTTTTAATGCATGCATTTATCCGAAGACCATTAGTTAATAACATAAAAAACGACAAATTGAACTTTTGACGAAAATATTTGAAATTTCAATATGTAGATAAAATATCCCAATATGACTAAAATCGATAAATAATCATAAGATAAGTAAAGAATAAATTCATGTGACCAAGATTGTATGGATATGGAAGGATGGCCTTGTATAGGAAAACAAAATCAGCGAGTAAGATATCCCATTATATTTTGAAAATAATTAGACAACCATATAATAATAGTAACGTGCGATGTCGTGGCGGGGCACTGTTAGGTAATATATAATTTGTTACCAAATCGTCAGGCTTGCATGCTGTATTTCTGTTCGAAGGTTGCGATTCACAAATGTCGGCAATGAGCATATATTAAACGCGTCCCTGGCACAGTAGCGCTGATCTATTTACTAAAATACTCTAGTGATAGAAAATCTATTCTCGTTGTCTTTAAATTCTGTTTACAAGAGGAAATCTCTATTTATTAAATTTAAGGACATTAAGAGATTTGCTGTTCAAAAGCCTTCAATTTTTCTATAAAGCATGAAGCCTTAGAAAACCTAATGAAAGCGGTCTCTTCATTTAATACTGTACCTACTTATGAACGAATTAGAATTATATTTCAATAAAAATATAATTCTTTATATAAACCATAAAAGTTGAAAAAATACCCAATTTAATTATACATACATAATGAAAAAATAATTTATATTAGTTAATATTTACAATTATGAAATTTGCATTTTTTATCGAAAGTTAAGTATTATGATTATCATATCAAATATGTAATTAGTGCTTTTTAATATTTATCTGATATATATCTGTCATGAATTATAGTTTTCTTATAGATTTATAAGTCTCCAATGTTCAACATTATAGAAAATAGACCTTAACCCCAATATAGAATATTCCTAAGCTCGATATAGATAGCCCCTTGTGACCTTCTACTGTCTACTGCACCGTATGCACACTACCACCCCGTTTTTGCAGCTAGATTTAACTATAAATTAGCTGTCAGCCTTCAGAATGAAATAGACACGGAAAACGTTTTCTCGCGGTTTTAAAATCTCTTTTAAATTGCAGATTCAATATTCGCCGGTGTATAGTCGTAGATTGTCGCGGCGGGAATTTTCAGTCTATTTCTAAGTTCACGGCCGCAAGAGCTGTCTTGGTTACGAATATCGAGATATTTAATATTCAATTTCCTTGATGTCGTCAAGTTAGAAGTTCGCCATTTTGAATTTATTAGCTATCAACGAGGAAACTAACATGTTGACTATTTTCTATTTTATAAAGGTAACATCCGAAGCTTTGAAGTTTTAAATTTGTTTTCTGTCTAAGTCACAGATTCGATGTCTAATTGATGTATGACCCAACTCCAATCCTCGGGTACGAGTTCTTATTTGACGAGATTTATTATAATATGTATATTATAACATTGCTAGTAATACTAGTGTTACTCAGGTGGATTGGATTTAATGTTGAATCTTCATTATAATGTACCGTCTGTATTCTAGGCGTAATATATTCTCCTCATAGCCATATTGATACGAATCCTTCATCTCCTCTTTGAGTATGTGTGTGTGGCAGTTATACATATCTAAATTCGAAATATGTCACTAATTAGATCCAGTTTTAGATGCCCTTTGAAAACAATAAACAATAGTAAGTATGTCTGTGTATTGTTTAAGAGGATAGTTTATATTTAGAGTTTAAGTTTGTTCAAGGCAGTTGTGTCTGGTTTTAACCAGTTTATTACAGTGAACAGATTTGTACGTCACAATCTTTGTTGTTATTTATAAACATCTCAGATTTTTTATTCCGTAGAAGCATTTTTGCGTTTCAATAGTAGCTTATCGTAGCTTATTGTATAAAAAGATATAAAGTTATCTACATTTGATCTATCTAAAATGAAGCTATATATAAGACAAGAAATTATTATTTATGCATTTTAAGTGTTCGGGAGTCGTTTTATAAATATAATATTATAGTTACATAATTACTAGAACCCGTTCGAGACTAGTCCATGTATGTATTTTTATAGATGACCTGAAATGTAACCTTGCAAGAATAAATTAGGTCATTTAGGCCTGAAGGCTTTTTACGATCACCTGACACTTCGCAAAATAGATACTGACCGCATTTCCAACGAACATGTTTATTTTCATCGTCATTCCTTTCAAAAAATTACTGAGTGTAAACGTGAAAGTTTATTTACTTTAAATATCAAAACCGAGAAAAGAAGTTATTTTGATATTAACTTCGTACTCTAAATTTAACGTAGTAGTAAGAGTATTAAAATTAAATACCTTTCAGTTATAGTTCACAGTTTTGATAATAATGGCTACATACTAGACAAGAATATATGCTGCAACTCAACGTACATAATCTCAAAGAAACTCTAACAGTTTATGCAGCGCATGTCAAGATACAATAGCTTCATATACCAACTTGAAGGTTGAAGAAGCTTTACTTGACACCTATGCATTACAGCGTATTTACAAAATATGTTTTGAAATTATAGACCATGCGTTATTTTGCTTTATAATATAGTAGAATAAAATCATTGCATAGGTATATAGGTACGACTATACATGTCAACTAGGTTTCCTTACCTAACTTTATTCGGTCGGTCGGATTTAAACTGATGCAGTAGAAACCGTCTAAAGATAGTTTAGTGGGTTCCTACTGCATCAGGTTCCTTACAATCTCGAAACTGTGTCTTACAACAATTTGCAACTAATTCCCATTGGAAGTGTAACCAAGTGAAACTGAAGATATGAAGTGTCTTTGTGTGGTAAATTGTTATTATCACTCGCGCTCCGAACTTCACTACGACTTTTAGAATACGGTCTAATGAAATGTCGTGATAAAAGTACGTTACGAGACACTAGTTTTCTTCACCATTAGTCAGAACATGAAAATTATTATATAGTACTATCGTGATTACTTTCGAAATCGAAAGAGTTTCGTGTTATGTCATACAAAATTAGAGCTTACGTGTTAACATCGGAAAACTACGTTACATGGCATTAATTTTCAACTAAAAAGAATAACAGAAGATTATCATGTCGACTCTATGTAAAACCTTTTATTTAAACTTTTTGAATAGATACACCTGTATCTATTCAAAATTATTATATATGCAATATAAGGATAAAGCAAAGTGGAATTCAGAACACTTCGTTAACAGATATAAAATACTGTTTAGCACATTATTCATTTGATATCTCGGACAAGAAGCATTTAATATTTAACAACTAAAGAGTATTCATTCCACGACGTTTTCTGAGTTCGTTCCGAGAGCTCGTCATTTCGAGTTCTGGCATTATGAAACGGTCCGACAACTTCGTATTTGCAACCCATTTAATACGTTTTAAACTATTCATTTCAACTTCTATTCATCTTAAATGTATGCGATGCACAGTTTCAGTCGAATATAACTTTATTCTCGCCGTTTTAGCGCATGAAAACATACTCGTGTCGGAACTATACGAAGTGACACATTATGCAAAGTTTTCGCCATGAATAGTCGCCAATTAGCGGTGCTATGGAAAAAGCTGGGCTTAAGGGTTTCATTTTAAGTTAGTTACAAGTGACTTTGACGCTCGATGCATAAAGAGCGGTCTTTTATCTGTGTGCAATTTTTGCGCCGGCGTAGTTTTCGTTTAAATTTTATTGAAACTAAAACAAACCGGATTTCAATTACTTTTTTTACAGTCGATAGGGTTTAATCCCGCGTCGGTTTCATTGATCCGGATTGGTAGTTGGTTTATTTTTTTTGTTTATTTTGTCAAGCTTTTGCTATTTCACTGCTTGCATACCTACATCTATAAACATATATCTAATTTTAACGTCGCTAGTTCTAATTTGATTTACTTATCGGGTACCTGCAATAACTATTTACCCAAAAAAACGATATTTTATAAAGATTCATACAGGTAGACTTGGTAGAAATTCGTATGGCGTGGCTACTTCAGTTAATAGCTTGCTTTGTAAGCTGTTTGGGTTTTGGGGTGAGAAAAGCAATTAAATTACAGAATACAAGACGTGCCATCTTTGTCCACCGGTAGTGCAATCACGTGATACACGTGCGTCGGATAATTTAATATCCCTAGTGCTATTAATGTACATAGTCGACATTTAACCATTACCTACCATCAGGAGGATCGTGTCTGTGATTTCAATTTCATATAAGATGATCAAATTACAACGTTACCTTTCCTGGAGCTGCGCGATAGCGAGTCGTCAATAGAAGATAGAAAAAGAACTGATAAAGATGATATTAAATTACTTCGCTCATCGCTCGTGGCGAATTCACAAAACTATGTTCCGGTTTGTAAAGTAAGATGAAAACATTGGAACTACGACTCAACTTTTACTTTGTCACATTAAAAGACATTTCTTTTAAATGAAACGATATCTCAAGGTAAATATAAGTAGCTACCACTTACTTTAGTAAGTAGCTACTTAAGTTAAAGTTAAAGTTTACTATTATAAATTCAGAACTGTGTTCTGAAATGACACGATCTCCGAAAGCAAATTTAAATAGCTATCACTGATTAAACTTTACGTTTAAAAGTTCAGACCGTGTTATAATTTTTATTCGTTTGTTTTCATTTTTAATTAATTCTTAATAAGTCTATGTTGATATTAATACTTAACACTACAGGACACACTGAGGCCAATACTCTCTACACCAAATTTACCAATATTGGTTCAGTCGTTTAGGCGTGACAATGTAACGGACATGGTAATTTCACATTTACATTATTAGTATTGTTATTTAAAAACTTTTTGGTACTACTTGATGCATTTATATTATTTTGTTTAATTCCGCTCTTTAAATAAAATAATATAAATTCATCAAGCAGGAAATTGGACGTTCGCAAAATAACACCTAATTCTATTAAATATATTTTGGTAGAGGATTACACCGTTAACAATGCAATATGAATATTATAAAAATATAAGATTTTTATGTTAAAAAGCATTTGGAGAGTGGTAAAAATGCATATAAAATTTATAACCCGGCTTACGTACCTTTCAGCAGTTGTGTTTTAGCTATTAAAATATTTTTATTTAAATAACTTTTAGTAGATTTGGACAGTAAATATATTTGGTTACATCCGAGACGTTGCTTATAGGATTAGGTAGGTATTATGATGATGAGGTAATTTAAAAAAATGTGATAAGTAGTTCATTGGTATTTAAAAAATGCAGTAAAAAAAGTAGGGATGTAAATGTAGGGAATACATAAACATACTAAATATATATAGATCATAATCATAACCGTCCGTGATTCATTGTAATTGGGTAAATAGTATTATTAATTATGTGCAACAAATTATATTAAGTAACATTTTAGATTAGAATTAAACCAAGGGGAATTAAAATAAATGGTCAAAAGAAAGTAAAGTAAATAAAGTTCATTAGATTTGCTGACGATATAGCTGCATTAGCAGAAAACTACACACAGCTACAAGCACTATTAGAAATTATGAGTACAACTTTAAAAAAATACGGACTCAAAATGAATATAAATAAAACAAAAACAATGAGAATAACAAAAGTTAAGCCCCGTTATAAAAAAAATTCAAAAATTAACAAAACACATTCAAGTATTTAGGCAGTTTAATCACCAGCGATACCACGGATATTACAACAAGAATAGCCATGGCAAAAAAAGTATGACAAAAAATACCTTTTACGTGCTAAAATATCCAAGACCTCAGGGAAACGATTTATTAAGACCTATATCTGGAGTATAGCTTTGTATACATGTGAAAGGTGGACATTAACTCAAAAAGAAAAGGACCAACTGGAAGCTTTTGAAATGTGGTGCTGGAGAAGGATGGAAAGAATTAGCTGGAAAGATAAAGTAAGAAATGAAGAAGTATTGCACAGGGTGAAAGAAATAAGGCGGACATTGGATGCTATAGAAGGTAGAAGAGGGTAAATATTGGGGCACTTGATACGGCACGATGAATTTTTGAAACTAATTATTGAGGGAAAGATAGAAGGAAAGAGGGGGAGAGGAAGACCAAGGCACAGTTACATCAAACAAATCATAGACACAATTGGAGTCGTGTCGTATCAAGGCTTAAAAGGTGTGATGGAAGATCGTGGAAAGTGGCAAGAGCTCCACCGACAAGAGCGTCGCTCTTAAGTTTATGAATGAATGAATGAACTTTTTAGATAGCTACCCCCTCAATAAATAATGAATCGTGAAAAACTGTTTTATTTTTATTTGAAAAGACTCAGATAAAGTAGACGTTATTAAAGGTTCATTAGTGAACGTTCTTAATAGGTTCCGGGTCTGCAATTGATTGAAACCATAAAAATATGAGTATGATCTAGATATAGGATGTCTAGTACACCGCTAAACGAGAGGATTTTAATTAGGTTACGTCGAAGTGCAGTCTCCTCTAAGTAACTACCCCTACAGAAGCCAAACTATATCAAACGCTACAGCTGTACATAGATACCCACACAACCACATTGACTAGTCGTTCGTACAACGAAGTCGGTGTAAAACCCGACTGAACGGAAGTATAAAATGTAATTAGCGACGCAGTTCATGGGAAAGTGTAAAATATAAGTTCATATTTTTTCCTATCCTCATAGTCATTTATATATATTTGATGTAGTTCATGATACATCCTGGGTATGCTTCTGGTTGCGAATACCTACAATATTTTTCATTTTTCCTGCTTGTTTGGAAAACACTTTCAGCCAAGAAGTACGGGCAGGGAACTCGACTTTTATTTGTTTTTAAATCAGTTTGAAAGCTTATTACTTACTTCTTACAGTGTAAGTTTACCACGTTAATATATTTTGTAGTGCGCTTCAATCGTGTACTATGTAAGTGTAGAAAGTCGTTAACGTATACCAATGTATGAACAGTTTATAATTAAAATGAACTGTAATGGACAGTGCCGAACCACTCGCATCTATTGAGTCTCTGCAACAACTTGAGCCAGTCGCTACATCTAACTGTACATTACACTTCATTTGCCCGTGGTGCCTCTACCGGTACCTCTCGAAATAGCTTTACTTATTACTATCAGAATATAGCCGTATGTATAAACTGAAATATGAAATTGGTACAATTTAATATGATTATTTCAAACGCATTCCGTACTTCTCAAAAATACATATTTTTGCCCTATTTATACCTTTTAACTACCCAGTCACTGTTCAGTGAAATCAAATTGAATATTGTTTCTACGAGATTACACTCTAGTACCGCACGGTGTCCATAAGGAATTTCTACACGTTAAAACCTAAGTGGTCGTGTTCAGTGCAATTTCAGAGGAATTTCCTGCCAGCAACATTACCACTTTCATTATGGAATGAGTCACTATCGAGGTATAGAAAATCGACTAACATTATCGATTTTACACAATGCATGGTGCATTTTATTAATTGTTTTATTCTAGCATCGTATAGCCACATGCGACATTATTTACTAAACTCTTTTAAACAAAATCGTTATTCGTTTATGCAGTATTATGATGCAGATCTTATATCTGCACATACTTCGATGTACATATTATATACCAGAAATAATAGTATCCTCCTTTCTTTGAGTCTGATAAAAACCATTAAAGTTAGGAAATATCAATCTAACCATTCTTAGCAATAGACGGGGTTTGTCTTCCGAAGTAGTTTGTTATACCAATACCATCTTCAATTCTGCGCGACTACTTGATATCTAGTGACTTTAATGACTAGAACATTTTTAAAGGGATTAATTTTTGATACAATATTTAACGCATTATGATACGTAGTTTCTTTTTTTAGTATTTATTTTAGTTCTGCTTTTGTTACAGACTAAAGTTGTTACTATTTGTTTGTATACGTGGAATAGTATAAATTATATGACTATCAAAACAACTAACAAATCTATTAAAGTTACTTTTTATGCGAGAACTCTACGTGTCTTCGTGTTTACACACAAAGTTTCTATTTTTAACATTACTTAGTATTAGGTACACTACGAGTATAAACTTACTAGGAAAGACGCAATGTGCATTTAAAAATCAATTATACAATATACAACAAAACCTTTCACATATTCACATGGTAAATTTATTATTCATACATGGTGTATTCAGCGTTGCTGGGCAGAATTTTAGATTTCACCATTTGTTTTTATTCTTTTCAATATTGTAGCAGATGGAGTTTAATTTAAAATGTATTTCCGATTTGCAGATTGCTTCTTGCGGAAAGTTGTTCACTGTCATGAATACTATTACCGGCTTCAGCTTAGTTGACGGGATCTATTTCTGAACTATAATACATTTAATACAGTTACCATACAATATAAGTATATGCTTGCAATAAATAGTATTATTTTTACTTATTTCGCTCTACATTATAACATTAATATTGTGCTTAAAATAACATTTACTGTTAATTAAAAGGAAAGGAAGCAGAAACCCCTTTATTATAGTACTCATATACATAGCAATCGTCGTTTTAATTAGATACTTTATATCAGCATTTGTAGCAGTCGGTTTACGTAGCAATTACTAGGCTACGACCACATTAACGGGCTAAGATTCGTGTCGTGTTATCGCGGTGTTTCTATGTGATGATGGAGTAAAAGCACAATGTGTTTTACCCCGAGCTTGTCGTATGAGGTGGCACAGAACAGAGAAATAAAGCACAACACATATAATTTAATATAATATTAGCGACTAGTAGTCGCCCACTTGTTGAAATTAGACCAAATTTAAATGAATAATAATTAGACCATATTCGTAATTCATTTAAATTTTAATTCCTTTTCAAATTATGTTACTGAATAAGATGCGTATGACCAACGCATTGTAACATATGTAATATGTTTTCTTAATTAACTTCATTACATATTAACGATTATTTTCAATAAAATATTAATCTTCTACACTTCTTCCATATACACTATAAACTTTACCAAATTTCATATTCGACAGCATTATGATCCTAAAATGCAGTACTAAGTTTTTCTTCAAGTAATTATTTTTAATTATATTAAATTTATATATAATTCTTCAAGTATTATAATATTATTACTTGAAGAAAAAAAAACTTAGTACAAGTAGTAGGCAAGAGAAGGAAAGAAATTAATCATGTAAGCAAAAAGATTTGCAATATGTCAGCACAGTAAAAAAGTTAAGCTTTACACTCACATGTTTTATTATCATTTACAACAATTTCAACAATTGTGTTAAAATGCAACGATTTAATCGCAGTAACAGAAGTTGATAAACACTTTATACCACACAACATCATATTTACCGTGCTACAGCGAGGTAGATTTTGCTACACATCAGTTTTCTGTCAAAGTTCTTTGGTTGCCTGAGGGGTTTGTACACGTAGCATATTTGAACTGAATACAGCGAAATGTAGTCACTCGCACTGGCTTTTCGCAGTAGGTAATATCCTTTGACAAGCGGTGAACCGACAGCAAATCGAACGGCATTCGAATTTGCCAAAATGATTCCGAACCGCTAGTACTTCTGCGAAGCTCGATAATGTGGCAGTAGCATTAAGGTGTAGTGCATTTTTGATGTGCACTTGAGAACAAGAAGCCGTTCTCATAGCATTAATGGCAAATTACAGTGTATGCCACAACTCACACTGTACAGGTGATAACTTTCTTGGACATTTTTAATTCTTGTTCGTACAATGTTTTTTAGTATAGTTATTATTCTTATTTAAATTATTTTTTTTATTATTATTAAACATCCTTGACAACAAACTTAATTCTGGACATATCTAAATATCTCAGTAAAAATGGAATAGAAATATTACAGTAACACAGTGAAATATAAGATATTTTTTTAATATAAATTCTAGATATTGTATGTAAGTATATATACCCTCAGAATCTAGTTAAAACCTCCTATCATTTTTCGTTAACTGGGACTGGGACTTATTACACACAAAAGAATGGAATACATACAAAATATACATTCATAATATTGCTTATAAAGCGCTTTTGAATCGTTCGTAATATTTTAACAAAAGGTGAACCCCCTAGAAATTCATAATTTTAATCTTTTCGGTTCAATAGCTGTAGTAATTAGGATTTAAGTATAAACATCTATTCATTTATATTTATTAATACAAAAACGTTCTACTTTCAATTTTATAAGTAGGTATGACGACTATAAATGGAGCTAGGGATAGTGCTACACTAAACTTGTATGTACTTTGTATTAGGGCAAGTGCTCATACTTACGTAATTAAATTCAAATCCTTTGATCTCAGAAGTTCTTGTACGTAAAAGAAAAAACCATTTGAACTTATTTTTGGATGTAAATATTTTAATTACACACAGATTTCGTTGTAGTGTAGGCGAATACGTTTCTTTGTTAATTTTCGTTGTATAATACATTTCGCAATTGCCCAAAGCTTTATTTAATTATATGTTTTCAACAGTAATATCTCTTCAAATATCGCTTTCTCAATCAAATAGATAATTTCACAGACATTTCACTTAATTTGATGAAGTTCTTCTAATATTAATTAGTTTTATGATATTTGTAGACAATCAAGACGAAATAATTATACCTTTATATTATTTCATAAATAATATATAATATTGTCAGAGTTAGGCAACTGTTAAGCACTCCTGATGAAGTTCATTATCTCGATATATATTTGGAGGAAATCGTCTAGTCAGGTGGAAAATTGAGTGCTGGAAATTTTCTTTCGTAATTACATTTTTTAACATAAACAACTTGTTGATCGTATTTATTCTGAGTAATCACATTAGACGAAGCAATCGGTGTTGGATCGTCAACTCTATTTATTTATTTAATTCGGATATTCATCATTCATATTATGTTAATAAATAACTGATAAACTATATTAGTAAAATATTAAATCAATTCATATATCTATGTCTACCTGTCAATATGTACGATTAATTTTCTTAACAAAATTATTAATTTGTATACCTACTACTATATTACGTTATTAATTACTTTAGTACATATAGAAAATATTGAAAAAAATATTACATTAAAAATCACAAACAATCATACATATATTATAAATACGGTATTGTTGATAGTTAGTTGGTTCACGAATCTTCACGAATAAATAATTGAACTCTGTAATTCGATATGTTGTATATCCAAAACGGATAAGTAGGTAATCTTTTATATTAAAAAACAGACGAAACCGCGGGTAATAACTGATATATAAATAATCCTTCTGAAACATTCAACTTGGTTGTAATTATAATATGTACCTGTGTATATTTTGTACGCCGGATATATACGCCCTGTCATTTTATTTCATGCAAACGGAAAATAAACATATTTACAAATGGATTCGTTTACCGATTCTCCACATGGCCTGCGGGGCTGAAGTAGCCGCTTTGCAATGAGTACATAAAATGAAACCTGAAACGATTTATTTCATACCCAGCTGAGTGTAACAAACGGGCAACTCGCACAAAGTCAAAGGAAAAAGCATTTATTCATTTTTTATCCATTTCTGCCTGTCAATGCTTTATTACTATTTTTAACTGTTTTATCTGCAAGTTGTAAGAAATGAATCCTGTAAGATACTAGCTGTTATACCGGCTTTGTCTGTACAAACTTTTATCCTCTTTTCCACTCTCGCAGATTATTTTTTGTGCTAAAAGATACCATATGTTCGTCACCGTAATTAGGACTTCATGTCAAATATCGTTACTATCCGTTCAGCCGTATAGTTGTACAAAAATAACAAATGACTGTTCTGTCTTCAGCTTTATAGTGTATACTTCTTTTAGATTTCTTTTAGATTATTAATAAAAGTGGCTACAACCTACATGCATACAATATATAAACTTGCATGGCTTGAACCAAATCCTAACATCTAATTTGAAGCAATTTTTTTTAATAGATAGTGTGATTCAAAAGGAATTTTTATATATATTATACATGTACACGCATACGAAGCCGAGCCAGTAGCTAGTTATGTATAAGAAAATGAGACAATTTGACTGTTTGTTCTTTGTTACGATCTTTTACTTTTACACGTAATAAACAGAGGGCTTATATCCTAAAAAAAGGACAAAGACGCAGAACAGCCAGTGTCCTATATAAATTAGTTATTTATTATTCGTAACTAGTTATATGCAATGACTTTGCATTTGCGAAACCAATATCACCCTATAGGGAGTTGCGGAAAATCTTTCTTAATAGACGTCGATATCAGAAAATAAAAAAGTCAAGTTCCTATCCTTAGCCGTCTAGCCTCCGTGCTAATGAGTCAGACAATTTATAATATCCTCGCGATGCGAAATTGGATATTACAAAACACAAATTGGTTTTTTATAACCTCATCTTATTGGCTCAATATTTGTTCAATGAATAAAGAAAATATCTTAGATAGTGAAATTATAGACCGTCATTTGTAAACAGGTCCTAATTGAGTTTGTATTATAGTTAGAGAAACTACTGCCTGCCCACTGTGACTATAACTTGACGATAATTGATTAAGATTGAATATTAAATTGAAATAACAGAAGCTCGTTCATGCCGGATGATTGATTAAAATTTCTGCAGAGTTTAAGCCAATGCAATTTCATTTATTGTTTTTAAGCTCTTTATAATGAATATTGTACAATAACCACTTTATTATGAAAATCATAATTGACTGCTTTAATACCTTTTATTTTTTTATGTATTAGAAAAAATAAAAGATATATAAACTATTACAATATACAAACTAATACTATATTGTAAAATCACCTATATATATATACAACACAACGACATCACGTTATCACATGACGTCGTGATATCCCTCATGCGTTCTCATTCCAAAGGACTAAGTTGTTATCACTCTTATGCCCTGCATGTAAGAATCATCTCACACAATTCATGAGTATAATTTTGTTTTTTTTTTGTTCGTTATTTTGTATACATTACAAAAAAAATTAAGTACTTATATCAGTTGATTAGTACCACATGCTCAGCTCAGTTAGAGACTAGATGGCGCTTATTGTTACTATAGTACAGTTCTGAGTATAGGATATAAAAACTGTCTCATGGCCCTGTTCCCAAATCTATAATTTCTATCCCTGCCAATAATATAATAATAATAACTTTAAACAGATGAGCCCAATAGACCAGCTTAGCGAGCAGGTTAGTAACATAATCAAGAAAACGGTCCTGAGCTATCCTCTGCAATATTTTTAATGTAGTATATTTGTCTCGAGCAAAATTGCACTTCGTTACGTATGCTATTCCAAAATATTATTTCCATCCCTCTTGTAGAGATAATAGATATATTCATATGTTATAGAAAGGTACGCTTGTGCATTTTAATCGGCTTAAATAATAATCATCATTCGACTATATATATCCTTTGAGTGCTGTGTCCATTTTCCGCGATATATTCAGTAATTATCAAGCGATTTCATCAAAATTTCATTTCAAATTAATTTTGAGTCAAAATTTAATTACTGCCGTGTCGGTCCCATATACTAAATTTGGAACAAAATCTGAATTGCATCGTTCAACAAGTAACGTGTACGAGTACCTAAATTTTTTTTTTACTTCATATGGGAATTTTTTAATTTTGATTATTTGAAACTGATTTAATTATAGTATCCTATTTTTCTCTTCTTTATAATATTACCTATATTATATAGGTAATATTATAAAGAAGAGAAAAATAGGATACTGTCTACAGCCATATCATTAAATAGTAATAATAATAGGTAATAGCAATTTTTAATACGAAAAAATCGCTAAAATAATTATCGCTAACTCTCTTATAATGTAGAGAATAAGAGGATTCTAACCGCAACCATATTATTAAATAGTATTGATTAAAGATATAAAATAAATCTAATTATTAATAAAAATAGCCTACCGTTGTTTATTGATATAGAATATTTGAGATGGATTTAATTATCGCTAACTTTCTTATAATGTAAATAAGAGGATAGTATCCACAACCATATCGTGAAATAGTATTCATAATAGATATACATATAATAAATCTACTTTAGTAATATTTGTGTTACTACAACTCTTCTCAATTGCTTTCTGTTACTAGGCTACTTTGTCTATTGTTACAAAATCTAAGCTCTTGATACCTTTACATTTTTTTAAATATAAATTTTATATAGAAACTCTAAATTAATATTTAGTCAAAATCAATTAGACGTTGGAAATACTATAAAAATATTAATTTGTAGAACCTACACAGTGGCCGTATCGAATATATTGGTTGGAGAAACTTTACATTGTATGAATACGGCCGAAGTGCATTTAAATTCAGTTATTTAATAGTTAATCTTTCACAACGCACGTTTGTACGTACTTTGTATTTGTTCTCCAACCCCTTGCAACCCCGTCGGCCCGGGTCGGGGGTGGTGCAGCGCGGCGGCTCCTTCACTTCGCCTGCGACCGTTCCACAGTACGGACTTCTCCATATAATATCGTTTCAAAAAATTTAATTTAAATCAGTAACTTGAAACTATTTCAATTAGGAACTGTGGTAAGTCAATTTTATTTCACAATGACATTAAATATTTAAACGAGTTGAATTTAATTTAAATTAGTTTTCGAAATGAACTCGCAGTTAGTTATTCCAAAGTTCCGCGTTTGCATTTATGGTGATATGGGACTTGTAAAATTTCACTGAGAATATTTTTTTAAATTCAATAATAAATTTAAATTGAATAATATATTTAAAACTTCTTATTTCAGGTTTTAATATTGTTCTTGTATAAATATTCATCAAACTTTTGAAAGAAGAAAAACTTTAAGTTTTACATGTGATTTTTATAAAAAGATTTGTCAAATTTAAATCATTTTTGATGATTTTAATTGAAATTACTCTCGTTTTAGAATAAGTGTATGTATTATTTAAAATTAATATATTTTTAATTATATATTTCAGGTTTTAAAATAATTCTTGTATAAATATACAACATACTTTTAAAAGGATATCTTAAAAAAGCTTTAGTTTTTCAAGTGCTTATTATAAAAAATTATATCAATTTTAAATAAATTTTAATGAATTTAATAGAAAATACTCTAATATCAAATTTAGAGGAAGTGAATTTATATTTCAAGTTTCAGCATTATTCTTGTATTTGCAAATAAATATTCAACAAGCTTTTAAAAAATATTTCAAAGAACTTAATTTATTCATGTGTGTTTTATAAATATATGTCAATTTTAAAATTAGATTTGATGATTTTAATTGAAATTACTCTCGTTTTAGAACAAGTGAATTTATTATTTCAATTAGTTTTTTTATAAATATAGTATTTCATAGAAACTATATCATGACATAGAAATTTTGTTAAGGAAATTTTTTATTTATTGTTATTGTTGTTAACAATATTTTTTTTATAATTTATTACTTTAAATTTAACTTTACTATTTTTAACTATGTGTAACCAATTATACAATTTTATGTAATTAAAATATTTTTTATAAAAGATGCACTAGTTTACATAAATATAAAAATAATTTTCCAACATGTATTGCGTAGCATATAATTTCTGTTTATATATTTTATTTCATTAAACTGTTAATATTTTAGTGATATTTCAATAACATTGATGCGCTATTAATGAAATAACCTCAAATAAAAAAAAATATAATGAATAACATGCGACGAACAAGAATGTGAAAAAAAAATTGACTTTTTAAATTTAGCGACGGTAAATGTAGCCTTTATAGAGCATCTCTCTCTCTGTAATAAAATTTTAAAATATTGTACTGTTAAATTATGCTGTGTGAGCTTTTATTAGGAAGTGCATTTATTATGTTTTAATGATACATTCAACACTTTGCTCTTTTTATATTTTACTGTTACTACATGTTTCTAAAGTTTGTCCTCCGTCGGATTCTATATTTCCATTGTATGAAATTTCAGTGCGAGATTTTTTACGCGCTGATTGGTTTTCCACGTATTCGATATTTGCGGTACAAGAAACTCGACGGATAGTTATTCTTTTCAACCGATTCCAATATGAGAAATATTTCAATTTTATATTGAATCTTCGTGTCTATTTACTCGTCTTGTAGGTAGTACCTACTACTTGTACTTATTTCATAGCAAGAATAAATAAAGTAGATTGACAGTTACAAAATAAAATAATATTTACGAAATATTTTAAGTACTGTTTTTTAATTATATATATTTGTCTTAAATTGATTATTCGATAGTTTCGTTTAACAGAGTCACTGAAAAGAAATATCTGTTTAATAAATATGATTAAAAAAAAATTAAACATAATAAACGTGTATGTAAATGTAAAAATGTAATCTGTATATATGGATATCGAACAATAATCGAGTTAACAGTGTAGCATACCTTTTGCCACGTACGAAAATATGTATGTTTTTTAAATTCATAAAATTATTGAAATCTGTAACTATGTTAAAATCTGGACGTCCGGAATTCTGTACAGTTTAATTTCCGTGAATACAAATGTAGTAAATCAATGCATGACCCAGTTGTCTTTGTTCCCTTTAAACATGTTGTTTTTGCAATTTTATTTTACAAAATATATTCCAATATTCATTTTATTCGTAAACGTTCAGTTATAATCATATTATCTGCTTGTTCAAAGTGTAGTCGTTACGATTGATGTTTTAAACATTAATATTTAAACATTTTTAATCACCGTATAATACGCGTACAAAACGCCGATAGGAGGAATATTTTATTAAAAATGGACTTTATATTCAACTTAAATTTATGAAATGAAAAAGGAACCATATCGGGGATCAATGTAGTGATATGTATTATCTCAAAAAACGCAGTTAGAAAATAACGTTTATACTTAGAATTAAGAAAAACTAGATGATAACAAAAAAGTTGTTGTAATTCTCTCCACCAATAACATTTATATCTCTTTTAAAGTTAGCCCAATATTTACTCACATATAAAATAACATTGAATTGTTACAACAATTCAGTGTTAATTAAATAAATTAAGTTAAGAATTAAGTAAGAAATAGTCTTATTAGAAATCTGATATTATTCTAAAAATTTATTTCATATCCGATTTAGAAACTGTGTTGTTTTATCAAATACAGCTATTTCATCTTTTCACAGTAACCGAATAAACTGAAAAAGAATATTATAGCATATTTACTCGTATATTGATATATATATATATATAATATGCAAATACCTCGGGTAATATAAAATGCTGTTTGTTGAAGCATATATTCACTATAATAGTTTTCAACGACTTAAATTTAATAACCTTGTAACGTAGGGAAATAAGTAAAATATAAAATAATGGAAAACGCAATATATCAATATATAATGCATCGCCATTAGTATTTGCCGGCCAAGCTCTTCGTTTTTTTCATAGCCGCAACTTGTAATTATCTATTTGAAACGTTGGAAGCTTATCCACATTTTTACAGTGCCAGTTATTATTTCACTAAAATAACATACGGAAATGTGGATATTAAATTGTTCGTACTGTAAACAAAAATGCGCAATATTAATTTATACTTATTGTAAAAACTTCGCTGAGAAATTTTTCATTTCCGACATATGAGTATGGCTATATTTACTACTTCGTATCAGGTTCTTTATGCGCTTAGTAACAGGAATGCTACTTTTTATTTAAATTGTGAACCTGTAGATTTAGATGTGGAACAACATTTTTTGTAAATACACTGCACTACTAAAATGTAATGAAACTAACGTACTTAGGAAAACAGTCGGATTAACACAAACATAATCTTGAATACAAATGTTAGGATAGTACTGGTATCGTAGCCGCGACCATTAGAAAGTACGGCAGTATGGTAAATCATTACAATGACGACGTTATTTATACACATATTATGAAACTTACGCATTCAAAGTTTCGCATAATTTTCATGCATTTCATTATCATTAATCGAATATTGAATATAGAATTATATTAATATAGACCTGGCAACTCGGTCAAACTGTTGCTAACCACTGACAAGTCTGAGCGGTAATTTGTAGAAACACAATTATAAAATTCAGTGAAACTTACTTACACAAAATTGGTTTCGTGAATTATGATTTCCTGGAATGGGCAAAGCTTTATAGAATAATCCGAGTTACTTGTACCTACTCGTATAGTATTACCTAATAGCTACAGGTAAAGCGTGGTAAAAGCCACCGTAACATTGTGTATTTTATGACGGTAAATATCTATCTTTACGTCATGTCCTTTATGGAGTAAGCAAATAACGAGCGTACAGGGTTCTATCGTTACCTATGTATCATGATAGTCTGTCTCTTTGTACACTCCGATGATAGACTAAATTAATACGAGCGACAGCTACATACTCGCCCGCTGCTAAGTTAAATTCAAAAGCAGTAATATTCTCTGCGAAGAGCTGTCACGTTTTTATAATGTAATACTGTAATGTAGTTGGACAATTATAACTACTATAATATATAACAGTGATATATCAATTTTTTTTATTGAAACAAGTAAAAAATAATACCTATTAAAAATATCAAATTAAACAAAGTATATGTAGATACCATTTTTAAAAAGTAAAAACTGTCCCAATAATTCAGTAAATGCCTACCTTTACTCTAATAAGTAATCTAGTTCCGCGCAGACACGCGAGTGCCTAGGCGGGGCGGCCACTTTGTATGCCTTCACAATTCCATTGCCGTTTGTCTAAATGCAAAATGAATAAAACATATTTAAAACGAATCACGATAATGAATAATGTTATTATTTTTCCATAATAAGTTCAATCATAATGGATAAAAATAAAATTAAATAAAAAAAGGTACTTAATAAATTAAAATACGTATAGTATTGTATTTTATATGACGTTATTTTATTTCTCGTGCACTTCTCAGCAAAGCCGTTAGATTTTGACATGTTAGAAATATCATAGAAGTATTTAAAAATAACTAGTGATTTTGTACAATGTCAATCCAAAAGGCAATGACTATTTCAAAATTCATTTGAAAGTTCAAATAATTGTACAAAAATTGAAATTTTATTTTCCGAAATTTATAACAGTAACTTCCTTGTTAAATGTAATTTATAAAAAAAAAAACTCACTAAAGATAGCGCTCACCACCCTAGGTGACGAAAGAGTTGGTTGCAATTCCACACTGAATAATTGCAGCGATTTGCTGTGCTAGGATCGAGAGAAGATTCTGTTGTCACCAACTAGAGCGCACTTCTTCACTGCTATTTCATTGCTGAATTTTTAAACATTGTGGGGCAAAAATATTAAATGTTGCAGAGAATATTGTATTTGAACTAAATTTGGGTTAATCATTTTACTATTAAGTTAGTACTCAAAAAACCGTATTTGTAACTTAAATATTTTTTCTTTGTTTCAGACACGATGTCGTCGATTAGGTTGCCGTCGGTCATAGTCAAATGACAATAACTAGATTAAAGGTAAATATTACTTAAAGGTAAGTAAACATCTAAAGTAGTCGCATTACCTTTTCTCAGTATTTCTTATCCTGTGAGGTAAGCTTATATTATTCGAACGACACAGTCGAACCTTTTGACATTGTCGGTACTTTAAATAATGTAGATGTACTGTGTATTACTGATATTTTTTTATTATTATCATGTAAATCTTGCCGCGAAATAGAAACGAGCTGTTTTTCATGAAGAAATTTTAGTCACTACTGGAGTATTGGAGATCTACTAACGTAATATAAAGGATGTGTAATATTTTTTTAAGATTTAGGTTAGGAAGAAGAGCGAAGAGCGTATTATATATGTATAGCAAGGTGATGGAATACACTTGTAGTCTTCGTAGCCGCTTACCAGTATTTGCCTTTTGGAACAAAAGTGATAATATTTACTCTACGAATTTTGATTACAGGCCAAAGCACACAGAGGATACGCATGTCGTAGATAATAAATTATGTACATATTTATTTTAAGTACTAAATTCTCGAAACTAATATTATTAATTCATGAAGATACGAGTACTTTACATTAAGCCGTAATTGATTTTGATTGCGTTCTCGGTATCAAACCAATAGGCAATGCTGATTTTAATTACAGGTGGGATTTAATTTGATCATTAAGCAAAATAATATTATGCAATTGAAAATCATTGGTAGTAATAAATGTATGTGTCGGTATGTTAATGACTACAGTATATATAAGTATTCCATTTATTAATATGTACATATGTCACAGACGAGCATCACGAAGGTAGGTGGCATAAAACGGCCCACACACGACACTACAATCAAGGACCTACACAGGCGACTGATTACAGTGGCATGTGTAGGTCGTTTTACTGTAATAAATAGTCACGACCGATTTCAGTGTCGGGAGCGCTCATGAGACAGTCGTGTCATCGTCTGCTTGAGCACCAACAAGCGGGAGGGGACGAACCTCCTCTGTACACACCCATCGACCAAATTTCAGGTAAATATCTTCAAATATCAAATATTTGTATTAATACCAATTAGCATTAGGTTTATGTCCAAAACACATAACATCTTCTCTCAAAAGAGCGTTTGACAGTAGGTTTACAATTGGTAAATTACAAGCAAGTAGTTACGTTTGCTACAGCGGCGATAATTGACTACTACTGACTGACTACCCCCCTGAAATAGGTTTTTACACGAGTTCGAGTACACTTTGCCTGTCATAGATCTCAAGATTCTAAAACGTTCAAAACCACGCAATGTGTAGACTTCTTGTAAAATCCCTAGATAGAGACTCGATTTAAAATACGGAAGAATAGATTTTCACCCTTTTAATGGGTATAGTTTTGAGTGAGCGGTGGTGAATCAGTCTGATGACAATGATCTGTCTCTTTGTATTTATATTTCAATATATTTATACATATATGTATGTTATATACCTATCTAGTTATTCCGTTATCTCCACGTGAACACCCCATACTCATCCCACCCTTACCACCAATTGAAACTGCATATCAAATTACTCACTGTTTTGGTTTACGTAATTAATTGAAAATGATATCCACTGTAACTAATACTTGATAAGTACAATTCGTAACTGATATGTTGTATATAACCTTAATTAATTAATTGTGTGTGAACTTATATAGATTCATATAAAATCTATTTACCCCATGATGATATGATTACCAATGTACTTCAATCGTCTTTTATATTAATTAGTATGAGACCTTATATAGATATCTGTTGGTTGCTAAGGTAATTTGTTTATCACCGAAAGCAAGCTTTGCCATTTGATAAATGTTTACAAAATTTTACTGAACTCTAAAATTTTTTGACAAACTTTTTGTTTAATATATCTAAAAAAGACTCCATAATGATTGTCAGTTTCTGAATTAGAAATAAATGATTACAAGGTTTACTTTTTAAAATTTGTTATCGTAATGGTTAAAATTACGTTACGATTACTCCATAAAAGCTAGCCCTAAAGTTGTTTGTAGTTGGTGAATTTATTTGCGTTACAATATTTGGAACGCGGCCCGAATAGCAATTGGAGAGGGAACAGTATTCAAGTTGGCACTATATGATGGTACGTTGATCAAATTGAACAACGACCACTGATTGCTGATAGCAGACAAATGTAACCAATAAATGAAAAGGTAAAATAAAAGATTAACGGCTTACGTTGGTATTAATGATGTAGAGCCATTGGTAGAATACACAGCAAAATTCGCAAAACCACTCTGATTTTCATGTTAGTTACATAATAGCTACTTAAAATGGATATTCATTAAATGGTATTTAATACTGGATCAGATCAACTCTAAACATTAAAATTATGCATTTAGTTTGAGTAGAGCAATTATTTAAATTTTTTTATAGTACTATGAATTTGACAAGTGACTTCTTGATGAATGATTTCATCTTTATCTATATAATAATGTAAATTGACAATAAGCTGTAAGTAAAGTTATATTACATAATACTTAAACAGCATCGCGGATATTAAAGAATGGCTACTACTTATTGAATGTGCCATCCAATAAATTCAAAATTGAAAATTTTCGAAATTATCTATCCACACATACATGTATATGTACGTATGAGAAGAGCTATGAGCAAATCTCTTGAGGATAGCGCTTTCTTTACTCAGGTATATCTGCCTACTTAAAAAGTAATTAGATCTAAATAAAGACAAGTACCTATATTATAGACAGAGTAACCATAAATTGAAAATGTATTATTCATCTCAAAATGGATAGCATTAGTGATATTGAATAAATCACACACAATCAGAATTTATAATTGGAAATTCATAATACCCTTGAAAGTATAAAACGGTAGTGATACTGGTCCTGTTGCATATTACGTATTTAATAATAAAGCAGGATTGAAATTCAATTTAGCATCGTCAGTAGTGGACACTTAATAGGCTTAATTTAATGTAATGCTAAATGAGTTCTGTTATTGGTTTAATATCACGTCTGCGCTACCTGTTTAAATAGATTTTACAGGAATAGCTTTATTGGAATAGTGCACACTGCACACAATTAATTGAATCGTAGTTATGAGCCTTTGCTCAATTCGTCACTCAGTATTAATACTACATGAATAGGTAAATGAAAAGACCAATATATTTTGTGAACTATTTACTCTAGGGACGGAATTGGAGATAATGAAAATTCACGAGTAGGTTCGCCCAACAATAACTATCATTACCGCTTCACATCATATTACAATAAAATCAGTTTTGTATATTAACAATTTCATAATTGGATTATGAATAAGTTTAAAGATTTCAATTTTACAATTTCATTTCGTAGTTTATATACGTAATTGTTATTAACTTCATTAATACTAATAGGTTTTAAACATCTAATTGAAATCTATAGTACTATATAATACTGTAAGACTAATGTTTGCAACAATTTCGTAATTTATTATCACCGCAGAATTTTACATAAGTTGATTTGAAATCATTGCATGTCGCATCCTTTACGAATTTGTCAAATAGAGCAGATAATGAATTTAAATATAAAAGTTTTGTGTTAAAGAGTAATTTAACTTATCATGTATACTTATCATGTATATGACCCTGCGACCTGTCCTAGTTTAGTCGACAGGTCAGTCAGTGTTGCTAGATCTGAATTGTAAAATGAAGGCAGTGTGTCGAGAAAATAACGGGAATCTCCGAATAGAAAAAACCAATGAAATTTCCACTCCTTCCCCTCTTTCTGTTGACAGTATCTAACAAGCGCGCAAGATGATTTTTGCCTAATGTTTCTTTTGCATTAAAAACTGGTGATCAATTTTAAAGTCAAACAAGTTATACAAAATTAATGTGATAGTATTGGAGATTTTTTGTGAATTTAAAATTACTGAACGCCACACTTTCTAAATTTTTTCTCATCGGTATACTGTAAAAATTGGGAAGTTTTTAATTTTATGATACCAAGAGAGACCCTGAATAATCAGGAGGTATGTTGACTGTCTATTTCAAACCATAGCAGCTACAAAGTTCGTTTCTTCTAGAAGGCATAGTGTGCCTCAGTGGGCACCGATATCGTCGAATGGTAGCGTCTTAAAGTAAATGAATTGTGACGCAGTGTGTCGTCTGGGGGTCTGCTGCAAAATAACAAATCCGAAGTTTTGGCCAAATCTTCGGCGTTTTCTACGAAGCCCGTTTGATATGAACTTTTTTATTTGGAATGGCCAACTCATATTGATCTTTTAATATGTTACTGCTCTACTCCAAATAATTTGGGTCGGATTTATAAATTGGATTTTAAAAAAGCAATAAAATCATTAATATTCGGATTTGTAATTTCGACGTAAAACTAACCTGTTGCACCGACGGACATGTGGTATTCGATTTGGTATACATACTCATATATAATATTTAACGATCCAACAACAGTAAGTTGGTAGTATATTTTTGATGGAATCTAATAAAACTAAAAGTCTTAAAAATGTCGTAGATATATATATGTTTCTATGCTTACTATATTTAAAATTGTTGTTATTACATTTATATATCTATTTATAATTGTACGATATAATTATAAACAAATAATATGATAAATATTGTCATCGTGCACGAAACATTTTGGTGTTTTCGTTAGTATGATGCCATTTCATTTGCATGTATTTTTGAGCCTGGTTCGATTTGTTGTCGAATTTAAAATATTTCGTCTCAATATCAAACTTTCAAATCGCACTATCCAAATTTTTAACGATTGATTTACTTACCAGCAATTTTTAAATCCCCTGGGTTTCTGTTTATACCTCACATGTAAATTTACATCTTTAATTCAGTAAAACACCTATTGAGTACCTTTTCACATTATACATATATAGTTAGTTTAATTATTTTGTAAATGGACCATTTTTATAAAGTAATTGTCATTTATTGGTGCTAGCGATGTATTCAACGAGTATGCATGTAAGCACAATAAATTGATACCATAATGTAGTGGACAGTTTACAGAAGTTGCATTTCAGTAGGCTGTAGCTGCTTCCGTATTTTTGGACATTAAGTGCGTTCGTTATTATGATGTTCGTTAGCGCTGCGTCGAGCGTCACGAGCTCACTTTTATCTTCAAAATTAATGAGGTCCTCGGTTATCGTGGCCATTGAAGCTAATTGGCAATACGGTGTTAAAATGGTTCGATTTTGTGTATGCCGCGTCACGTCAATGCAATATAATTCAGCGACAAAACCAATACTGGCAACGTTGTCACAATTACTATATAAAACAATTAACCTATATAACATGTTTATGCATCTAATGTATTGTAAAAATCTAAGTTTAAACACAGTATATCCTTGAAGAATATGTCGTTGATGTCATCGATTCCTATAATCAACGTAAAACACAATGTGCCCGTCGTTATCGAAGATTAAAAAAATAAACTAAGGAGTTTTCACACAGTGGTACCAGACCATGTGGCCCGGGAGGGCGGAGGCAAGCTGACACGATATGCGCCGACGGAAGAGGACGAAGCAACTCTCAGGGAACTTCTGCTTAGGTACGTGCCACACCCTAGCAAGAAATTGAAGATTAGCTTATCGCCTTTATTAATTGGCTTCATTGCATTTGATTCATATGAATCTACCTATGTGTCGATGTGTCTCCCTACTCTACATTTTTCACCTTGGCTTGGCATCCCAAATATCTTATATGGCAGATATCAGATGCGTAAACTTAGCGGGTTGGCCGAATCATTTCACTATCCTAACCATAACATCGGACCATAGCACTGCGGTTAGCATCAATGGCCATAACGTTTCAATTTTTATAGCTAATGTATAAAATTAATTTAATTACGCGTTTAGTTTACACTGCATTCAAAGTGACCACTTTTCTTAATTACTCACTAGGCAGGAACGAGTGACCGCTTGCATGACTGTTCGTGATTGTATTGTGTTTCGAATATTAGTTTTGTCTAGATATTTTTTATATAATGTACTTATATAGCGTACTATTGTGCTAAACATTTATATGGATTACAAATTATATAATCATTGGAAACTGTACATAAGTTGTGAACAACCGCAGACGATAATACCGAATATCCGTTCAATGTTAAATAACATTGCTACGCTATTTAAACAGCTGTAATTTCCGATTTGTTACTTTGAGGATCATTTTACCATTTACCATACCAATACGAGTGGGGAGGATTAATTAAAATCATCAAAATACGACCTGCAAAATACACTCGTATATTGTGGATGAAAACTAATGCAACTGTAATCAATAGTTCAATAATACTCAGAGCCAGTGTAATGGTTATTCTATGCTTTGTTCATTGAGAGCGATGCAACTGATGAATAAACTATTTTTATTCATTATGTATGTAGAACATAATGAGTTGCAGTATGTAAGTTAACAGTGATTTAATGTCTGCGGATATATTTTATGTTCAAAAATTTTAAGCACAAAGCTGGGACATGCCTCACATCAATGTTCAGTTCACTAGCCTTTCAGTAACATTAATCTTCTAAGATGTCATTTAACTTCATTGCAACAAACATCTACTATGTCATTAAACTTATGTATTATCTACTACTTTCCTATCCTTCTTAATTTCCTATTAAAATATGTAAGTATAATATAAATATTGCTTACTTATTTATTTAAATTATGACTTTAACTATTTATTATTCATATATGTAACATATTTGAAATATTTAATTGGTTAATCAAATGCTAAGGTTTTGTAAACACAAAAAGGTAAAAGAACTGTCTTCAATCGTAAATGTTATTTTTTATTTACGCGGGAATAAGCCAACAGGGGAATATTGAAAAAGGATAATTAAAATCGGTGCACAATTAGCAAAAATGCCGCCGCCAGACATACAGATTTGAAAAACATTCGAACCCTATAAGATGGACTTTCAACATATTGGAATATGTGGTTGCAAACAAATGTATCTGCATAAACATGCTTTGCAAACATTATAGCTCACGATATTAAATTTAACGATTTATAGTATGGATAATATTTTTCTAACATGAAAGAGGAATGCATGTTTTGTTATCAGAGAACTATCCAGGTATTTGTGTAGAGCGGTATCTCGCAAAGGTTTTATATAGTCATACGTACAAAAATAAACAGACGGTCTTTGTCGTTTTTAGTTTGTTGAAAATAAAACTGACGCGTGTCGAGCACCAGTGTATGACATGTTTGCAACTGTACCTTGTTATTGTGTACAATGTTAAAAAAATATATATATATAGCAAAATGCACATTGCCCAATTGGTTATTTGTATTTTATTTATTTTGGTAACACATAAATTATATGTATTTGGGTAACACCTCAGAAAAATACATATATAGAAAGGCCTTGTTATCTAATAATAATGATAAGGTTAATTAATATATAACAACGATAATTTATATCAAATATTTATATAATTACTATGAATTTTGAGTAGAATATATAAAACTCCTTTTACTTACCTACATCTTTTTCTTTAATACTTTTTAAACTCTGGAAATGAAGTAGTAATGAGAGAGTAAATTTATTTTTAAGACAAAGTTTTTGTATTGGATTGTAATTAAATACAACCTGTTTAGAAACCACTGTCTAGTACGAATATAGAGAGGAACTAGGAGACTATAAAGATTACAACTCGACTGAACTTTACATGTTTTGTCACACACAACTCAATTAATAGAATTAATCAAAGTAGTGATAAATTATATTAAAACAATAAAAATAGTTGAATCGGAACGAATACAAAATTCGTTGAGAACTTTCCAATGGAACTTACGATTGTCAGTTCGTAGTAGACTCTTTGATTTAATTTAGTTCGATTTAATAATCTCAAAGCTAGGACAGATAGCTTTTGTCAGGCATTTCAGTAGTCAAAGACTGGCTAAAGCTTATTAGAACAGTCATTTACAAATCTTTCTATTCTCATAGATTTTCTAAATTTAATAACCTTCATTTCAAAAGTATATAATCGAAATGTAGGCATGGCACGTGTTGCGTTTACTGTGAAGTCTTTAATTGACATTGCTTCTGACTACCTAATCTGAAATTACACTCCTAATGTTATATTTTTTTCTAACAATTATGAAGTGCTACAGTTATGAATCAGATCATATAATCTGAAACAACAGACAATTCTAAAGGATATTCAAGCATCAAAAAGTTCGCCACTGCTAATTAACTTGTTAAAAACTAAGGTAAGATTTTACCTGATTGTACAAGAAAGATAAATCCTCGCAACAATACTGCAGCTTCTCTTATACTATTTTACAAAGCTATTGAATTAACGCTCTCTTATATAATTTTAATTACCAATTATTTTCCATAACTCTTTTTCTGTAGAACGTAGAAGGCAAATTGTCTACACTTATTCACCCTTATTAACTAATCTAAATGCGTCTAAACAGTGTCTAACATCTGTTAGTCTATTTATAAATTTAATGTCTTACATAAAAGTTTTATTCTTTGTTCTTAAACAATTATATATGTTTTTGAATGGCAATATTGGAATGGCACACACGCTCATGGCTCACCTGATGATAAACGGTAACCGTCGCCTAAAGACATCAACAACTGTATTCATGTATTGCCCTACTGAAGGTCTAACATGTTGTACCTCAATTGTCAGCCATGGTAAAGATTATAATAAAAATAAATACATTTAACCTATATTTTTTTCATCCTTATATTTTCAGCATGTTAGAAAAGTATTGTATTCCATATTGTGCCCCTATTATCCTGGTATTGTTATTGTACAATGACAATGACAATCACCTAATGCTTTTACGTTGTGTCAATGCCCCGTAAGATTTTGTGTCTCTTAAGAACATTTTATGTATATCGTCTACGACAGCTACGGTTAACCTACAACATCAGTGTTCGTACGGCTTCTCTAAATATATCCAAGTCTGTCTGTTTTTTTTATATTATTCTTTCTATATCGCGCAACAGATTTTATTACGAATTTCGCTATCATTCAAATACTTTTTACAAATAGTTTATTGATACAATGTAGCTTAATATTTACTTTATACAGACCTGCTGAAGCCGGCGCGGGCAGCTTTATTTATGTTAGCATAGTATTCAATAATATTTATTCACTAAACTAAAGTTTTCATTTAAAACAACTAACGAATTGCAACACTTCAATTTAAAAAGACTACATAGAAATTTTTTTTTTGGCTTTATATTACAAACTAGATATGTGTTAATAAAGATTGCATTTGTTTATAGATATTATGTTATAGAAATTGATATTGGATTGAGTTTCCAATATAATAAGAATGACTATTTATGATTTTTACCGTAGTCACTGAAGTATGTAGAAATATTAAATAATAGTTTTGCGGTAAACCTTGTATACTATATATAAAAAATGTTATTATAAAACTGATATGAATAAAATAAAAAAGAAACATCGAAGTTCGTTCAGCTTAATGACTTTACCGTATAAAACAGAACGACTAACTGTTTTGTTCCACAAAAGAATCGTAAAAATACCTGCAGTGCAAACTCTAACACAAAAGACAAAACACAGTCGCCTATAGACATGAACAGTGCCGCATACATCACAAAATATGCTGTGACGCCAACAGCAAAAGTCATTCACTGCATTTCATGCCTGAATGTTGTGCTTTCATAGCGAAGACACCAGAAAGATGCAACGTAAGACCGCAATTTACATGAAACTAAGCGTGGTTCTTACCTTGCTTTTATGTTCCAACAGCTTGTATATACTAAACTCGCTCTTGTACTAAAATATTATCTCTAATACTGTTCTTTTTAATCCTCTACTTTTTACTTAATTTTTTTTTATATTGTAGATAAACTTTGGCGATCAAATATTAGGACTATTTGTATTCCAGGGCTAAAAATTACCTGATAATACCTGAGTACTCGTCAGAATCTAAAACCAATAGTGTACAATACGTAATAGGTGCTTTTAGAATTCTTGAGAATCATTATAATAAAGTAATAATTGAATGTATAAACGAAATCGCGAACTACTTACGTAATCAACGTAAAACGGCAAGGTTGTTACTGTTATGTATTTTAATAATATATATACATACATATACATACAGTGAAAAGAAAATAATTTCCAAACGATTCTCATAATATTAAATATATACCTAAGTTTGATGCCGTCAACAGTTTTGTATATATAAGTTCATAAGAGGATTTCATACAAGGATATCTATCCAGCCCAAGACTGGTGAAAAGTATACAAAAAAGAAACTGGAATCCAATGATGGCACTCGGAAAACTGAATAACTTTCCGCAAGGCGTATAGACGAAATATGAAAATATTTTTTAAACTTTCATACTAATATCACGTAACTGCACGGCGCAGTTTGAATTCAAATATTATTTTCATATTGCGACCATGTCTCTTTGAGAAAGTTGCAGAAAGTTTTGACTTGATATACCCATTACTGTTCCCCGTGTATATTTAATATTGTAATGTGCCCCTAAGTCATGAGAGTTTCCACATGGCGAACAAGGACATGCCTACTCATTTGTAACATCGTGGGTTTTAAATCTGTTTAGGTATTTATAACCGGGCGAGGGAACAAGTTTTCCCTCGTACGAGTAACGACCACGTAAATAATAGGATTGTGTTACGATTCATATTTGCTATTCATATAATTGACAGCTTCTATGAGAATCTGCAAATGGGTTACTTAATAATTCAGGAACGATGTCACTTTTAACAATGTAAACCTACTATAATTTTGCATATCAATTCGCATTTCCTGGTCATATAATCAACAATTTCTATGAAAATCGGCAAATTATGTCCCATAATAATTTTGCAAAGTAGTTCTGTTTTAACAATCTTGTAATTTAACAAATGGTGCAGTATTTGCTTATTCATGTTAGGACAGTTTCTTCAATAATAAACGGAGTTTCTTTTCTTATTAGATATTTCTAATTACTTTATAAATATTTACTTAATAAAGATTTTTAATATTGAATTTAAGAATCTACAAATAATCTGTAGGTACATATAAACAGATTTATTTTTGTAATTCTAATTTCTCAAACAGAACTGTTTCTTTTTCTGTAGTATCTTCCATATAATTAATAATTTTCCAACTGCATAATCCATAGGTACAAATGTTGCAAATAGTAGAAATTCGAAAACGTGTCTGCCTATATATTTGTTAGGTACTTTTTCAGTTGAACGGACCTCAATTATTGATATTAATTCCTCAAAGTAAATAAGATACATAAATAGAAGTTAAACATGGGATTCTATTTATAATTGAAGTAGCATTACAACTTTCATCTTTAGGTTAGCACGTAGCTAGCGTTTATATAAGTGAAACCCAAGGTATGACTCATAGACACATTATTATATGAATCGAAATTTTCTAAATTGCCTCTGGTATAGTTCTCCAGGATTATACACCATTGTGTAGTCCTTCATAAGTGCAGACTTTGCAATTTAATAGTCGTATTTTATAAGTCTATACGTGCGAAAGTATAGATACTTACCTAATTGGCGCACGAACACTTTAAGTTTGTTATCTTTCAACAAGCGCGGTGTTTCGATCAGATAGCCGACACAGGTCTGCGAAAAGCGGCTCTATGGCCTTTAGAGAAATACGCCGTCACTTCTTTCTTAGGTAGTTCAAGTTGACAAGAACTTCAATATACTTACACTTCACTCACAGCGTTATTGTGTGTGCAGCCTTCAAAGACAGGTGAGCGTGATGAGCATGAATCTCTCCGCGAAACTGGACGACCTGCAGAGGGGGGACAGGCAGCTGGAGACGACGGTGGCGCTTTGCGAGATACGCACCCAGCTTCAAGAACTTACAAAGAGCGTCGAGTCATGCCAGAGTGAGGTCTCCGAGGTAAGTTCTAACATTCATATTCCGTTTGCTACATCGTTCTTTGACAAAGTTTGTAGTTTGTAGCCACTCTGTATAGATAAACGTGCTGAAGGGGGATTGTAAATAGACGAAGTGACGACCGCATCGTGTCTGTATTCTCGTCCCTCTAGACGAACGGTAAACTAATCTATTGATGGTTTACACTACCGTAAATATGAGACAGTAACATTCGACATTTAGTGTCTGATTAAAGTTTCAGTGTTGGCCAGTTTCAGTGCAAACATTTTCCTTTGGCAGTAAAGCTAACAGTTCGAAACTACTATTAGTCGTCTTTTGGGTAAAATTAATTGAAAATGATATATTGAGTATGTACATATATATATATTATAAATAAATAATTGAAGAATAAAATTTGTTATAAGTAATAATTTCGGTGGGTGTGATTATATAAATGATAATTTATTATTTTCGTTATATTTTTATATGTTCTTTCTTTGAACAGGTTTTTTTATAAAGATTAGATATGTATATAGGTAGAAACGTAGAATGAATGATTGTTTTTCAGACGTGTATTATGCTTTGTGTTGATGGTTTCAGTGGTGAACCCTCAGGGTTATGGGAATACGTCTCTAATTAAGTTTACAGGGTTAGGAAAGACCCCCGCCGTGTCTGTGTATACGGCTAATCTGGAAAAATACAGAACGGATTCTATTTTTACTTTCCATCTATGGGGGTACTGATTAATTTATAAATTTATGGATATATTACATACAATAGAGTTCATTATTCCTTATAATTTGCTAGATAGACTCAGATAATATCCAATCCAGTTTCTATGCTCGTTAATTTATAAAAAACATATATTTTCTAGAAACACGTGCAGCTCTTAAATGTTATATGTAATAGGCAAAATACACACAAAATTATTGCAGCATAATTGTTCTGCAATCTACTGTTTACTAAATCACGTACTATGGTCATGTGTTGCCATTCTGGAGGATTAAGGTGTCATGCCACAGTGTCCTGTAATTTCACTGCCGTGTCTCTCCCTACAACCGAAACAAAGCTCACAAAGCAAGCTGCTTTGCGGCCGAAATTGGTGAGACAAAGGTGTCCACGTAGACCACTTTGTACAAAGTCAACATCGGTGGAAACTTTAATATCTCGGTAATATGAATACGAATACAATTACTAAGATAAAACAATCACGTTGGCCAATCACATACTTTAATAACTCAGAAGGTACGTTTTCTATAGAATATATTTCATACACTTCTAACAAATAGATAATCTGATAAGATATTATTATATATTATATATTGACTAATACCAAATTAAAATTGCCTTCATAGAAAGACAATTAACTAGTTCTCTTGAGAAATAACCAGAGAGGTTTGGTTAGACAATATTTATTAGATACCTAATATTGTGAAAATATGAACAAGGTCTTCATATTTTTTTTAATTAATGGAGTCTCATTTAAAATCCTTTTGGATTTAGTAAATTTTTACATGAGAAATATAATGAAAAGGAATAACAATTGAGTAACTATTAAATGGCCAGGTGAAACGCGACATGGTGGCCATCAAGCAGGAGTTAGACACGGTGCAGCAGGTGAAGGAGGAGATCGAGGAGCTGCGGGAGTACGTGGACAGGCTCGAGGAACACTCGCAGAGGCGGAAGCTCAGGCTACTTGAACAGGTATTTGTAATTTTACATTGCTGGGTAGGGTTCCATTATCACGCAACATCTTTGCTGAAAGTGAAGTGCATGAAACTCGAACATTACATACAATGATTAGATCAATAATAGAAATTGTAATTATTATTATTTGTATTTTTGTTCCAGGGCCTAACTTTCTTCTTATCGTACGCTATCTTGGCCGCGGTCCTCGGAATGCTGCAATTTGGTTACAACACGGGTGTCATTAACGCTCCTGGCAAAGTTAGCATTTCCATATGAATAATTTACACAAAATTTATTTCAGTGGTAGTGTTTACTAGTATTAACAATTTATGTACTTTTTATGTATTTGTACATACAGTTAGATAGTAAAACAGTTGACGATCGCTCGGTAGTAACGGTATCCTTCAGATAAAGACATGCTCAGCACAACATTAGAATACACTTCCGTGATACACATAGTACGCTGCCATTTCTCAGGACTGAGTTGTTAAACTTCCGGTACTGGTAATTTCACTGAAATATCTTACTCCTCAAACTGGAACACACTTTAAAAAGTAACCGCAAAGTAAATTAAGTACTTGGCGGCAGGAGTAGTTGAAAGGTATCCCTGCAAACGACTTTGTAGCCTCCGTCTGGCAACCACTAACTTTAATTAAACTTGGAAATGTTGGTCACTTCAATTTCAATAAATATATTTTGAAATACCTAGAACTCCAACTTGTATTACTTATCTTGTCACTCATTGGGTCTTACCTCACTTTGAGCGAGATCTAGAGCCAGAGACTGGCCTGAAATATTATCGTAATGTAATACAACGACGAGACTCTGTTTACGGCGAGTGCTTTAAAAGCGTCTATACTCAATTAGTTGGATCGATATATCGGGTCCTGGCTAATTTGCAAGTAGGGACGTACCAATTTGTGCCAACGTTCCACGTTAATGTTAGTGAAGCTGATACATTTACATATTTAAAAAAACGGATCTTTGACCTGACTTATAAGCCAGACCGACTGGTTACCAAATCGTGTTATAGGTACATGTCAACCCTTTTAACAGACTTTTTATTTTATTCATCTCGGCTCGTCGTACCGTAATGGTCTGTGCTAAGTACGAACATAGTTCAGTTTTTAAATCAAAATATATGTACATCACAAGACATAATAGTTTCTCAAAATCAAATTACATGAGACAACAAAGTTTGTTTTCAATTGACGAAACTGGTGTCGACTCTTAGTACCTCTAACCACAGACACGCGATGTTAATAATATGCCGCTCACGGCTCCACTTTTCTTGAGTTCCCGTTCATTACATGCAATACATTCATTGCCGTATAGATTGTAAAATTGTAGTATATAATTATGTCTCTGTAATTTAATTATGTCAAGTCCTACACGGTTTTGCTTTGTGCAGACAAAACATTTCTCGTCTACTCAGACCTTTAGGAATGCTGACATGTAATATTACATACAAATCAATGAGGTTCGTCGTGAGTTGAAAAGATTTACTGCTGTTGATTTTTCATGATCCTCATCCTCCTGTTCATTATAACAAATAGGTCTATAAACAAATAGCTCTAAAATCGATATAATCATTCCTAGAAATGACTGCTTGACTTAAAATAACCTCCATAAAAGAATAAAAATCTAAAATTTCTTCATAAGAAAATAATGACTTAAAGGAAGTTCATTATCTCAACAGAACATCGCTAACTTCATGAAGGACGTATACAAAAACCGGTACGGCTTGGATCTTCACGATGACACTGTCAACCGACTTTATTCCATAGCTGTCAGTATCTTCGCTATTGGCGGTATGCTGGGTGGATTCTCTGGTGGAATGATTGCAAATCGATTTGGAAGGTACCTTCAGCTGTTTAATAATACTAACCATAAAATATTAAAGAATAATGAATATTTACTTCTCGTTATTTAGCCAATAATAGGTATAATTGATAAATTAAAGAGCAGCGGCTACTCGTATATACATATATATTTATATACCTTCACGACTTCGTTTAATGTTAATACTGAAACACACTTGACTTATTATTATAATACGGAGTGAGTTTTAAAAATAAAAATAAAATGTGACAAAATTCCGTTATTCAGCTCAACCAAATTCATTTCATGTTCTAACTGCAGAAATAGCTGAGACAGCTGTATCCACACACATGACTTTGTACCAAATGTACCTGGATGAATCGTAAAATAATTTAATACCATGCACGTGAATTTATCTACAGAAAAGGTGGTTTATTGCTCAATAACATCCTCGGGATCAGTGGTGCGAGTCTCATGGGCTTCACGAAGATATCACATTGCTATGAGCTGCTCATCTTCGGGAGATTCATCATTGGAGTCAACTGCGGTAAACAATACACTACGACTTTATATTATTTACAGATGTTATAACTTCAAAAATGTCTTGATGCATAATTATTTAATGTTTAAAAAAACAGGTAAAATATTAGTGAATAAATGAATGTTTGGTCGTTTCCAGGACTGAATACATCATTAGTGCCAATGTACATATCTGAAATAGCACCGTTGAATCTTCGTGGCGGTTTGGGTACGGTCAACCAACTAGCAGTCACTGTAGGTCTACTACTATCGCAGGTGCTTGGGATCGAACAAATATTAGGCACAGATGATGGATGGCCCATCTTACTCGGTAAGTCCGCTTCTGATGAAAAATCGTCACATAGATTTTTCATATCGATTGATATTTTGGGACCTCGTTAATGTAGTGGTTTACCACTATGCCTCAACTTGCTGTTACTAAAGTTTTGATTTCAAAAATTTGTTCATTCGTTTTCTGATATTATACTATATTGCTTATGGCAATGAGTTTGATGGAATAATCGGATTGTATGACTTAATATTTTTGTATTCAATGTAGGGTTGGCTATATGTCCGGCGATCCTGCAGCTTATACTACTGCCAGCATGCCCTGAATCCCCTCGCTACCTGCTCATCACTCGTCAATGGGAAGAAGAGGCTCGCCGAGCATTGCGCAGACTTAGAGCCAGCAATCAGGTAATGTCACAAAACTTCATAGAAGGACTTGCAGTACAGGTGCCAATTAATTCGCAGAAGTTCCGAAATCTTTCTGGCTTATTTAAGGTTTTTAGGTTATGTCTTAGGTACTAGTGGCACCACAAATATCAATTATTGTTTCCTCGTGAAGGTGGAGGAGGATATCGAAGAGATGCGGGCAGAAGAACGGGCCCAACAAGCTGAAGCGTCTATTTCTATGCGGGAACTTCTTTGTTCGCCAACTCTGCGCGCACCTCTGCTTATTGGCGTGGTGATGCAATTGTCTCAACAACTGAGTGGAATTAATGCTGTACGTAACGTATCTACCTTTTTAGTACTGTTTCATAGGGCGCGTTTACATGGTAATGATGTCTTTCTCCAGTACGCAAAATCTAAGCAAATAATAATAAGCAAAATCATCAAACTATGGCATATATATGTACTATACTATCATACTGGCACGTTATCGAACGTAAATAAACTTACACTATTTCAGTATTATAGAGAAACATCACATCGAAGGGAAAGTCTATTCTATTTATGATCAGACCAATTAACGAAACTAAGTTTGTGAATTGGTATCTGATACGATGTACTTATATGCATGCAAGGATGTATGCTGTTTGGTATATGTAGTCTTCAGTTAGATATTTATTGATGTCACTATTGATTGATGTTACTATATCTACAAAGCCAGTTATCAGCTAAATTAATAATGGGGTATAATTTATGAAATACATGGAGAGTTGGATCTGGACAGGAGAACCTGCAGATATGACGGATAATGATACTGACGTACAGTATAGGCAATATATTCATAAGAATATTTTTCCAAAATAACATTTTTTTTTTAATTAGTCTAATGTTGTTGGCTACATTCACCGGAGGAATATGAAGATAAGTCTTAAGGACACTCCAAACCCGCATAAACTGCTTGATCCATAAGACTTTAATCTGAGGATACCGCTTGTCGTTGGAACTTCGGGTGATCATTATTTCTGTCCCCAACGGATTTAGACAGGATTCAATCATAGGGATGAAGATTGTATTTTATGAGTTTGATCTGCCAATGATGTAATATTGTATGCTTTACGCTGGTGGCCAGGGTCACCCTGGAGGATATTCTGTACTTATTGAGAGGGATCCTAATTCCACAAACATCATTATTATTTTATTTAATTATGGATAGCAAAAAGAAAGAAATTATGGTTGAAGTTATATTTTGTTCATGTGTGTATCTCTATTATAATATGCTCTAGGTGTTCTACTACTCCACATTCTTGTTCACATCTTCGGGTCTGACGGACGAATCTGCTAAGTTTGCAACTATGGGTATTGGCGCGATTATGGTGGGAATGACTTTGGTCTCTTTACCGCTAATGGATCGCACTGGACGGCGCACTCTCCATCTTTATGGTCTGGGAGGAATGTTCATCTTCTCCATATTCATCACGATTTCATTTCTGATAAAGGTGTGTCTTATAATATATCATTGACAATTATTTATTAAATCTCTTTTATACAGGTTTCAAGTAATAACTTGTGTTTATTAGAGCAGTTGTAACGTTTTATAATTTAAATGGCAAATAGGATGTCTGCCCTCCTGACTATAAATGGCAGCTATCGTGAAAATATATGAACAATCACAACAGTGTAGCTCAGACTATGCGATGTCATTATCCGATGTCGTGAGGCGTTATCATTCCGGAGAACTAAGGTGTTATGCATCAGTACTCTGTATTTTCACTGTAAAATACATGAGAAATGTTCTATATTTAGACCAAAGTACATGAGTAGGAAAATTCGAAATGAGAATATATCATAGCGTGGTGATGGTACTCTAACATGCTTCTCTTGAAGGGATATACTACAAGTACTTAGAAAGCAGTCTTGCATAATAAGTTCATATGACGATGATAAAAAGAGCAGTACGGAACAGTAGACTACTAACTGATCTTTCTAGTATTAAGAGCTGGTGGATGACTTACAATACAATCATATTGAGATAAAATCGAAACCTCATAAAACAGATATAAAATATAATACTTTGAAAATTATAACAATGTCTAAATAAATGTGAATAAATCTTCGGCTAATTGCCTAACAATAATCGAGATTCTATAAACTATTATATCATTTTAAAATATTATTTACTCGATTTGATTTTGATTTGATCGTATTGTGTCTATTTCAGTCCAACTATGAAAATGAAATCCTTACAATGGGATCATTAGGAACTAAACATAAAATTTTAATATCGAGATATCATACCGCGGTAGCTAAAAAAAATTAAAGTAAAAGTAATTTTATGAATTACGAATTATATACTTAAATTCGCATTATTAATATACATAATTATATAATAGCAAGTTTCCTATGATTACTTCCTTTGTTTAATTCCTATGATTGTATTTTAGTATTTAATAAATTAAATGTTAATTTTAAGAGAAGAACCAATGTTAAAGTATACGTACTGTAAAACATTGATTATTTATGAGTCACCATTGGTATTTTGAATCAAGATTGTTATTATAATTAACAAAACTACTACTAATATTTGTTGTACAAATCATATTATAAAATAAATGTAACTTGATTCATTTTACAAACTAATTTTACTATAGCCGCTTACGCACGCTTCATCGTCGCTTTCCTTGCAACTTTAACAACGATCTTTTGATCATTTTAACTTACCTACTTCATTTGGTTTTCAAATAACTATAAAATATTTATCATTTTATATAATTATTTCGGTCTGTATCCTATTTCTGAACAGGCCATTATTAGAACTAACACTTCGAACTTTGTTAGTAATGTAGCAGTCTATAGAGACAGCAAATGCATGCACAGCCATTTTATATAACCCTTTTTATTTTTTATATCACTATCACCTATTGTTTGCTTCTGCTTCTCGCTAAGCCCCCCCCCCCCCCTCATTCGACTTTCCTGTTTCCGAAGCCGGACTCTCGGTAGGAAAGCAATGAAATACAAGGAAATAAATGATCAAATATAAATGATAGCGACATCACTCACACAGCACTATAAATTATGAACACGATATTTTTTTCACCACTAACATGATGAGACAATATGCAGATGGTAGACTGCGTTTCAGGAAAGAATCCAATTAGATAATTTGGACAATGTATAAAATTGTACTTAACTTTAGGGTTCTGTTTTAAAAGTCGACTTCTTGTCGACGTTTAATCCGAAGCCTCGAAAGGTAATAAGTGCAATGTTATTTATATTTTCGTCCGGAGGGATTCTCTTTTGAAACTCACTTTAGTCACACGGGGAGCTCTGGCGCACGCGTTATGACAGCGATACTTAATTTACACTAACACTGCTCAAAAGCAGAAGGCACTGTTCACTCTAGCATACGCCGTACAGCCGATAGTAAGGGTACTTCACTTGCTCTCCGCACGAACCGGAAGGCGTCTGCTCAGGCCGTTTTGGTATTGTATTCCTCACTATGCTCAATAGCACAAACTGGTACAAAAGCCAGTCGCAGACAGACAGACACATACATAGACAAGTGTGTGATGTGCATTTATGTTTGTGGTTTATTTCTATCCGGTCGGTGATGGGAAAGAGCACCATTGCTATCCCCTGATAGGAGTTCTTCGGGTATGTGCAGGAAATGATAGACTGGATGAGCTACTTGTCCGTGGTATCGACGCTGAGTTTCGTGGTTTTCTTCGCTGTTGGCCCTGGGTCTATACCCTGGTTGATCACTGCCGAGCTGTTCTCACAGGGGCCCCGACCGAGCGCGATGGCAATTGCTGTGTTAGTTAATTGGATGGCCAATTTCGTTGTTGGGATCGGCTTTCCAACTATGAAGGTAACTTGTAAAACTTTTGTTTAAATTTATTATATCGCTCATTTGTAAAAAATATAATATGTCTATGACTATTCAACATATAACATTAAAACATTTGTTGTTATAGGCACTACTGGAAAATTATACATTCCTGCCTTTTAGTGTATTCCTTGCGATTTTTTGGATATTTACTTATAAAAAAGTTCCTGAAACAAAAAATAAGACCTTCGAAGAGATCTTGGCATTATTCCGGAATTCAAACGGAAGGTGAGACAACGAGTGTTATGTTCATTGAGGTATTATGTAACTACTAATGTAGCGAGGTGACACTGTTGTCCCTATCAGTTGCAGCGTAATCGCCGCACTTCACTCTATCATTCGCTAAACGCTGGCCACTGCAATCGCGTATTCTAGGGATAATAAATAACTTATTTATACAACATATGGCATCACTGTGTTAAATAAAATACTTAATTGATCTCCATAGTCTGTCGTCGTTCCTTCTTAACTGGTGATTAAATTTTGACAATTTTGATAAGATCTTCTCTTTTACATTATAGTACATGATACCTCAATGAATATTTTATATTTTTATATTTTAATGGCACTCCTGTGTCTTAATCACAACATCAACACTACATAAGCTCCATGTTTTATATCTCACGGCCATTTGCATTACACCGTGATCTTGCCATTACCATCAGCACGCGGGGCACTAATAAAATTTATTCTTAATGTAAATAATCATGACAAGACTCCCACAAGAAGATTTAATGAAGAAGTCGTTTGATAGATGTAATGAAGAATTTATGGATAATTAATATCTAGGTGGAAGTTCAAAACATATGTAATTTAATAATCGGTGAGTATATCAATGACAATTGTACAATGTAATGAATATTTTAATGCATAATTTTGTCGTGTGGAAAAGGAATGTCAATTTCATAGGACAAAATATAAAAAAAATTGTTACTTGACTCCCTAAGGTCTGTAATTAGCAATTTGATGTTTATTTTGTACATTTTGTGAAATTGAACAGGCTTTAGAGTACGATCCGAGTCATATTAATTAGTCTATGAAGTAGTGCTCGGAAATATTCCTGAAAAAGATGCTTTGCGTATGGATTATCATAAAAAATGTCCCACATATGCTACAAAGCTGTGACCAATGTACTCAATATAATTAAAATCCGTTCAGCCTTTACATATGATTGTATAACAAACATCTAAAGAAATTCCTTCCATTGTTTGCCTTCTCCGCAAATATCTGTTCTGTTTAGGAAGTTGTATTCTTGTTATTAAGTTCTGTTGTAGTACCTAATAACAAGCAAAGAACTTTTAACTGACCCTTAACTAAGAAATATAAATTATACAACTTTTACATTTGTATTAAAAGAGTAATGTGGAATTTTATTATTTATTACAACCAGTTATAAATGCAGTCTTAACGCCGTCTGTAAAATTTAAATAAATATATTTGATCTAATTGTTCCGGGTGTCCCCTTATAACTGGAACATAACAAGTTAGCCCTAAAACATGCATATCAGTTATTTCTCTACATCGTATACTCGTAATAAATAAACAGGTCTAACGCAATCTCTAAAATTTAGTCTGGGTATAATCAATTACTGGGTACATAGGTAGTAATACAATAAAATACCACCTCTGTCATAATAATCGTAAGACAGTTTCAACGCTCTATATTGGGTGAAAATTTTTTTTTCAGATATGACTTGTATTCGTTTATTGTAAAACTATGTTTATAGAAATGACATAAATTTCAATTTCCCATTTCAGGCGATACATAAATGATTGCGTTAATTCTTAAAGATGTTATATGAAAAGGGCTGGGCATTCTTCGCCTCTTTCCAGCTACAAGTCGTATAAAAATAAAACAGTAAACTAAGGATGTGACCACATAATCCAGATGTGAAGTGTAACCTAAGTGGCAGCTTGAAAACAGAGTTGCCAACTTGCAACTTAGTATTTAACTTTTTTAATTTTACAACATTTTCAACTTTATAACTAAATCTAGCTACAGTTGTTACAACTTAACAATTGGTTACAACATATTTTTAACAAGTACTAATAGAACTAGAAACTTGTAGTTCCACAATATTAAAAAGAAACGTAGGTATCTAAAAACTAGAAATCAATTCAAAAAGTAACGAGATAGTGGTTCAATATTGATATCCTGTTATCGACTTAGAAATATTAATAACTAACAAACGTATAACCTAGAATCCTTTTAAAACATATTTAGCTACTGGGTGAAGGTGTTACCTTTGATCAGGAATAGTGTTTGAAGGGCTGCTTGATGATGTCGATGGTGTGTGCAGGGACAGTTTTCGTGACAGCCGCCTGTATGGGAGTATGATGAACTGCGTGAACGCACTAGAGCAACAGCTTCCGCCGCCCCCGCCGCCTGCTCCAGTCGATGAAAAACACGACTCATGTAAGTTCTTCAGCAGTAGTGACGGTACATCCATAGGAGTCAAAAATCGGGCTTGCCCTACTAAAATAATCAGTATAATATCTTCATAAGTCTTCAACCCATTTCTTTATTATATCGATGTTTAGTTTATGGCGGGCCACAATCAGGTAGATATAGACATTAGTATATGCGGGCTTGCTTTCTTTTCGAACCTTAGAATCGCCACCGCTCAGTAGTATTGCATTTCCAACTCCATTACATAGGCAGACGTATTTTAATTTTTCTTTAAAAGTTTTTTTACCTTAGGTATATTTACGACAACGTACCCTATTCTTATTTCTCAAATTCACTTCAATCTGTATGTCAATAATATTGTAATATCTTGTAATTAACAATTGTGCTCTACAATTGTATTTTTCATCCTTGTGGTTTTTTATTGAAGTTGTAATTTTATCTTTCCATAGTGTATCACTGAGGCATGGGGTTTAACTTTAAAATACAAATAGGCCTTTCTTGCCCTGCAGTGGGATACTTTACAAGCTACTTAGAAATTAAGAAAATACATAAATAATAAATAATATAGAACAAAATAATGGAAGATGCGTTTATTGTGAGTACTTTTTTACTTTAATCTTTATGTGATATGTTTTGTCTCTTTCTGTTGAATACAATTTACAAAGGATAAAACACTAATGGTGTTTAACATCTTCATGAATAAAAATATTATAAAGGAATATATAACTATGACAATATATATAGGTAATGAAGATTTGTATTTAAATATAAGCTTTTATGTGTTTTTGCATTCAGATAAATGATGCAGTTGGAAATGAAAATGGTTTTCTTTAATCACAGCTTCATATTTTGACCACTTACTCATCATTAAACATTATCGCTGCACGATGTGATGCTATTATCTACTTCTTTAAGAGATTTAATCTAAACCTTGTTCATTTTAATATTTTCTTCATGACAGTTCACATAAAATGTATTACATAAAAAATATTTTTTTTTGTACTAGGTCTACAACAAATAATATGATGGTGATTTGTGAACGTTTATTAAAACTTTCAAAACTTCCTAACAAGTATTAGTGAGCGAAATCACACAAAACAGATAAGCTTTGTGTTTTATTTTGTGCCCAATTGTATAGGTGCATCTAAATTTGCATTTATATATATATATATAAACATAATACAATCACTTGTCTGGCTGATTCGTCATTATATAAGTTACCGATTGGTAGCCTTGCTATAACCAATTTGTTCAATAATTATTTTATTTTCTTTGCCATAATACTGGGATGGTTTAGTCATTATTTATTATCGTTAAAAATTAATTTTAGTTTAAAGGTTGATTAGAATTATAAGTCAGTGATGAAAAATTGTCTTAAAATATATTTTAGACTGAGCTAAATAGAACCACCAGCTGTTCTCGGCTGTTATCGTAATAATTAGTTGCGTAGAAGTACATCTGAACAAATTATTTATTCTTCTATTAAAATGAAAAAACTTGCCGAAACCATTACAATATTTGTAAAAGCAGGTTTTACGAAACTATTTAGTGAGCTCTCATGGACAAATAATGGAATGAACAATGTATAGTTGCCAATATTTTTCTATGCATAATCGAAATATCCGACACATTACATTTTTTGCAGCATGGATCACGTTAGTGCGTCGTTTGATGCACTATTAATTTGAACAGCGCCTCTTACAGGGACAACTGTAACAAATGCAAATGTTAAACAGTTGAAGATTTAAGAAATTATGACAGCAATGTTTAACAGTTTAGACCTCCAAACGGCCAGCAATATGAAGATGAAGATTCCGAGTCAAAATACATAGCCAGTTGCCCATATTACGCATCAAACTTTTATACGGCCATTTAGATATTTTTATTAAAGTATTGTATATACAACGCATCCTAATATTATGAAAACAGGAAGTTGAAACCTTGATTTGATATTTTACACTGAAGTATGCCCTTCATATAAGATGTTCTTTATGCATTTTCAACTAAAGTACAGTGTCCTAATTAGTCTATGTATATGATAACTTAGTGATTGTGTGTTTTATCAATTGTGTGATGCCATAATTAAAATTTGCAGTGTCGGAGCAGTCGTCGGGTGCAGGCGAAGCGGGACGACCACCACCTCCATTGCCACCCCCGCGGTTTCCGGCTACAGGCAACGTTTGACAATGGGAGACCGCTGCGCGTGCACCTCTGGTCGCACCCATCAAAGCGGCCGCCAACTTCTTGTTTCATGGACTGAAGCGACAGGGGGCGAGCCGCGCATCTATCACTACCACACAACAAATGTTCTAAATCGATGTGATTAGGTTATAACGAAACTAGATAATAAGTCACGGCGTACAGTTATTATAGTTCTTTAGTCATTTTATGACATAATTTATGAATGCATAGGTACCTTGTAAAGTGCCATCGGATTCTTGTACCCATTTTAATTAGGTCTTCATAAAAATTTATTGAGGACGTCGTGAGTTTTGCGAGACGATGTGACTGCGGTTCGTAGATCGCTATGGTAAGTCGTAGATTAGTGTGACACCGATTCGTAGGTGTATACAACAGACATACGCAGGTTCGAAAGATAGAAGTTCGTGAATGTAGCAGGTTTATATAGATCGGTGTCACACAGCATCACGAATAGATGTAACAGAGCTGCGCGGGATGTCAACGACAGCGACAGTTTACACCCATTTAAAAGCATTAGACAGAGCGATGTGATAATTGTCGATGATTTGTGAGAAGATGTATAAGCGCTACGCATAGCCATGTAATGACGAGTGCATGTCAATATAACAGCGCAATCTAGGTTTGAGTGAGTGGTACTGATGGTGGACATGATATGCACTGCATAGCTTATGCCTGTCGCTGTGAATGATTTGTGAATGTATGGTATGGTTGTCACATTATCAGCACAACAGTGATTGTAAGACGACGTAAGAGTGGTAATCAGCGGTTTGCAAGTTAATATAATAGCGCCATACAGATCTATGTGTGACATGGGTCTGTGTAGGGTAAATTGCTGATATTATAATTATTCCCTCAGGGATAATAATATATAATACAACAATATATGGACAATCTATAACCATCACGCTATAACTGAGAACGACTTAACCGATTTCATTTATCTTTTTTTATTGCTTTCGAATACATTACAGAAGTTTCATAAGGAACGAAAAATTAAAGAACTTAGATACAAAATTGGAGCATTTTAAGAAACTAAGGATTATTTTTCTCTTCGCAAGTTTAGCGTTTAAGCACTTGGTGATAGTTTACGCTTTCAATAAAACAGATCCCCTGCAGGATTAGTTATTAATAGGTATATAACTTTCAAACATTTTACTTGAAATAAATAGGGAGGATGTGGATATAAACATGGGTAAGTAAGTAAAAGAATAAAATCTGTACTAGGATAACCTAGGCTGGCAGCTTGCACTACTTGCGATGCACTACCGAAATTTGCGGGTTCGATCCCCGCACAATAAAAATATTCGTATTCATGAGTATATCCGTTTGCGTCTTTCCTATGTAGGTATATTAAGCATGCATTAAAAAATGTATTCAATGTCTATTTGTGTCTAGTAGGTATCCATAGCATAAGCCCTACCCAGTTCGGGTCCACATGGTATAATGGTATATTCAGTGTTTACTAATAAAGTTTACTCCATTGGTGGAATCTTTATTTATCTCTCAAACAATACTCACAGAAATATAAAGTTCTTTGATCTGAAGAGTTATTTTAATGTTTTCCACAAAAGTACCCCCAACACGATTAAAGCGCCTGGACGCTATAATCGTACCACACCCCAAAGTCGTACCGAAAATAAGACTAGCCTATACTACATAGAATAATACTCTTAATAAAATATCTAATTAGGAATAAACAAAACAAAGTACCTATTCAGTTAAAATCAACCAATTATTTTGTTATCGGCACCATCGATGTCACATCGTCATAGGAGGTAAGTAGCTCATGTCACAACTTGCAATACCATCTATAAATGACGTCACACGAATTTAATGATTTTTGATCACGCGCTCTATCATTGACGTGTATTATCAAACGTAACTACGTTTATGAGATTTGTGTGATATGTTCTCCCTAGTATCATACATTATGTAATCTTAAAAAACTGATTACATAGTAAAAATCAGCAACAAAACATTTTAAAACCTTATAATTATATAAGTAACTATTAACAAAAAACTTAAAATGTAATTTATTTTATAAATATATTTACGTTTTTTAGTAATAATTCAATTTGAACTTGTTAATACTTCCAAATATTAGATTTGAAAACGTGACGTCATAACAAATTATACGTTTTAAGAATTCTCCCGCCCCTTGTCACACAATCTCGCACTTTATAGAACATCATCGTCACTGTGTGATGTAATTTATGGATGGTTCTGGTAACCCCTGTATTAGATCCTTTCCAGAGGACCAAGGTATAATAGTCTTATATAAAGCAAATCAATGAAACTGCTATCAAACAGCAACCTATTACGACTGAAAAAATTAAAATCTTGAATTACTTAAATACTTACCGTATTTAAGCACTTAAACATTGGGATCTATTGAAGACTAGCTGCACCCGCGAATTCGTCCGCTTGGAGTTTAACTTTATATTTCTATACTAAAAGATTTTTTCTAAAACAAAAGTAGCGTAAGTTACTCCTTATTACATCTGCTATCTGCCAATAAAAGTCCCGTCAAAATCGGTCCAGCCATTTTAGAGATTAGCCGAAATATAGATAGACAGACAGACAGACAAAAATAGTAAAAAAATGTTATTCTGGTGTATTTATGTTCATATGCATGTATTATAGTAAAAAACGGTTATTTCAATATTACAAACATACACTCCAATTTTATTTATATGTATAGATTAAAATCACTTACAATACATTTTTAGTTTATGTAAGCACATAACCTAAAGATTACTATTACAACTAATCAGATGTGTGTTAATCATCGTTAAACTACGACTTAGTATCATAACAAAAAAATAACTATAGAAAAATATATATATATATGTAGTAAAAACAACTTAGTCCTCTGGAATAAGAAGGTATGCGGGGTACCACGGGTGTTACAAGATGATGTGATAATGATAATGACGATGGTGATGACATCGGTGGTGCTGTTTATGTACATAGACCATGGTTGCCAGTCATAATTAGGTATTTTGTTAAGTTGAATGCTATTCCAGGTAATTAAAAATTACAGAACAAGAAAATATGTCTTTACATGTAGTATATAAAATTAGTGCGAACTATGAATAATATCTTATCTTATATAATACATAATTATAAAGGAATATTTCGTATGTTCTATATATATATATATATATATATATAATATATATATATATACATATGCATATGGATGTATGTATGTAAATATATATAGATGTTTATATGTATATATATATATATATACTAGTTGTGCTCCCGGTTTCACTCGCCTTAAATTACAATATAAAATATGTATGCCTATGTGTTATTCTTATGCATAAGCTATATTACTGCAAAGTTTCATCAAAATCCGTTCAGTAATTTTTGCATGAAAGGGTAACAAATATCCAAACTTACAAAACTTTCGCGTTTATAATATTATTAAGATACATATACGTATATCATATATAAATATACAGATATACATACATACATATGTCCATATGCATATGCATATATATATTATAAATATCTATATATATATATATATATAGAACATACGAAATATTCCTTTATAATTATGTATTACATAAGATAATATATTATTCATAGTTCGCACTAATTTTATATACTACCTGTAAAGAGATATGAAACTGCTACCTATTAATTATCTTTATTGTTTTCATTACTTTCTTGAGATATGGTGGGGGTTACGACTTAGGCGACCACGATTTTACCATGTGAGCAACCTTACTCTAAGGGCCTTCCAAGATGCAATGTGATAGCGATTTGTAAGTCTATGACTCAATATAGGTCTATGTCAATGTAATAGAGCTATGTATGTGACTATGGTTTGCAAGGCGATGCGACAGCAGTGTGCATTTGGCTGTAATACTGATGTATGAAACAATGTTAACGGTTTAAAACAAAAAAGTTTGACAGTGATTTGCAAGTTGATGTAATGACGCTGTGTAGGTTGGTGTGACAGTATTTTGTGAGACACTATGACGACGGTAATGCCCGAGAGATGAGATGAGATAGCGAACCGCAGGTCAGTGCGTTGGCGGTCTACAAATTCTAGCTTCTGATATTAATAATAAAGTTAAATGATAAGTACGTTCGACGAGAAGAAAATATACATTATAAAGCGCAGTAGATTTTTATCAACTACATTTTAGAAAGCAATGTCGGTAAGGATCTCGTTTTGAGGATATAGAACGTGGTCCGTATCAGTCTGTTATAATATGTAAGCACGGATTACATGCCAACTAATTGTATGTAGAGAAATAAATAATATTAAATGGGTACGATCACAGTACACTAAGAGTATGATAACGGTAATCGTTAATTGACATAGATGTCACAAACGTGTATAAATAATTATATACATACATGCTGTGACTTTATTGTATTGTTGATTTTTATATATAATTATATTATTTTACAAAGGTTTTTATTCTCTTTTACTCATAAATTATTGTTATGAATAATAATGAATAAATTTATGTCATATCTAAAGTGACCGAGATTCTATTATAAAATATACCGTGTAAATAAATATAATTGAATGTTGAAAGAGATTTATAGTATTTGCGGGAATTGAGAAAAACATATATATGTATTGTAATTTACTTGAAGCATTATAATAGTAAAGATACAACACAAAATTCTCACGCAATGATATTTGTTTCTGTGATTACATATTCTCATTTATCGCCGCCTTTAGAATACCCTTAATATGTAGTGTTAAGTGATAATAAAAATAAAACATATTATTAACTTTTTAATTGACGATGAATAGTGTATGGTAAATTATACAATTTTGTGAAGACTTTTAACAATGTAAAGCTTATAAACTTGTACGCGTACGTACTTAGACGGCGAACAAATGTTTAATTACATAATTAGTTAGATTCTGTAGTTACTACAGGGTTTAGTCAATTTGTTCGTCCATGCATCTCCAACTGCTCAATTCAATATTAAGATTAACGGCTTTCGTATATCGTGCGTGATCGGTGATGCAGTGAGCACGGCCTAATGGACACGTGTTGTACGCGATGACTGAAT